CCGGCCGTCCCCGCCGGCCGTCCCCGCCGCAGCCATGTCCAAGGAGCCCCGGTCCGGGCGGGAGGAGATCCTGGAGTGCCAGGTGATGTGGGAGCCTGACAGCAAGAAGAACACGCAGATGGACCGCTTCCGGGCGGCCGTGGGCGCCGCCTGCGGCCTGGCGCTGGGTGAGTGCGGGGCGCGCATCCCGGGGCTCCCGGCCACCTCCCGGGGCCACGACCTTGCATAAATCCGGCATCCCCCCCAGGGTCCGAGGGACCTCCTGGCAGAGGGACGCAACTCCAGGGTTTTGGGGCGCCCCCTTTTCCTGAGCGTTGGTGTCAGGGCCCCTCCAAGTTGTTGTAATGGTCTCTTGATTTCCAGTTTCCCTTCTCTAGGACCATTGGACCTCGGGGCCCCTCTCCAGCGGGTGGGGCATCTTCTGACTGGGGTTTTGCCCCCTTGTCTGTGCGGGGTATCACCTCTTCTTTCAGGGGGCCCTACTCCTCACTGCAGCGTCCATTTCCCTGGGAGGCCCCCCTCCTCGGGAGGGTCCCCCCTCTGGCCTTGGAACCCCTGTGGACTGAGAGGTCTTTTGCCAGGCGGTCCTACCTGTGAGGTGAGGTGCTCTATGGCATCTTGCCCTCCAGCCTGGGGGGCTTCCCTCTGGACGCAGGGCCATTCTGACTTTGGGCCCTTCCCTCTGTTGGTGGGGTCACTTGCCAGCCCACAGTACCTCTGCTGCCCCCTTGTTGCCCACCAGGCTGACCCTGCTGGAAGGGCAGCAGGGATTCTGGGCACCAAGGAGAAGGATGGTCAGGTAGGAGTCAGTCTTCAGGACGGGGGTGGAACTCCTTCAATTAACATGTTTATACTGCCAGTCCCCAAAGGACACTAGTCAAGGAACTCCCTTCCAGCTACCACCCTGGCCTCAGGAGCCACCTGGCGGGGTGTGGACCGGGATGAGAAGGTCCTTTTCTGGGTGAGAAACTTTCCTGAGCTCTACCTGGCTTGCCCAACTACCTACTGGAGCCTCCCAGCCTCTGGGGTTTCCAACTCTTTCTGGAGTCTTTTCCTCCCCTTCTCGCCCTCTGCTGGCTGCAGGGACTCCTGTTTCTGTCCGTGGTGTCACAGAAATGAAGACATTTGCCTTCTTACATCACCTCCCTTCCACCCCAGTGCCAGCACATCCCCTGGGGCCCTTGTTTCCTCTTCCCTGAACACTGGTTGGTTTTCCTGCTCTGTGCCTTCCCCCTCTCCCCTCTTCAGTACCCCCGGCGTGATTTTTTGCCAGAGCAGTCTTGAAGCACAGGTCTGACTTAGTCACGCCTGGGCTGCGGGGCTCACAGTGGCTCCTTGTTGACCACGGATTTGCAAACCTGGTCACCTGGCAGCCTCTGAGCCCTCCCCAGCACGGTGGGTGTCATCGCTTCCCCCAGCCCCTTCGCTCCCCCGCTCTCCTGTCCTAGACAGCGAGCACCTTGGAGGCAGGACTGGCTTATTACTCTTACTGCTCCCTGGCCTTTCAGGCGGTAGTTGGTAAATAAATGTGTGTTGGATTAGGGGACAGACTTGGTTCCCTAGAAGAGCCAGGGGTGGAACTGTGTTCTCTTCTGTGTTACCTCGCCTTGATTCTGTCTCTCTTTCCTCTGCCAGCTCTTCTGGTGCTTGTCAGCCTGGCTGCTTTACAAAATGATGCCCCATCAGGGTGGTCCTGTGAGGTGGGTGAGACCCATCTGTAATCTGGCCACTGGGATTTTGAACTGGCTCCACTGCTTTGCTAGCTGTGTGATCTGGAGGAAGTCAGTGGATCTCCCCGGGCCGCGGTTTCCTCATCTATAAAATGAGCACAGCGATAGGACCGTGTCATTGGGTGGGTGTGAGGGTGACAGATGGTCCGGCTGAGCGCTCATCTGCCCCTGGCTGGTGGTGTGGCCGAGTAAACACTGGTAGGCCCTGGGAGCCCCCAGTCTGCCTCCCCAACTCCTCCCTGTCCTTCAAGGCCAGGACTGGCGGCTCAAGGGCTGGATTAGACCTGCACACTTAGTTCCAGCGGCTCACACGGTGAGAGACTGCACAGGAAGAGCGAGATTGCCAGCTTCTCTTGCAAACCCAGAGTAGTGCTGGGCCTGCGTCCCCACGCGCCCGCGTCAGCTGAGCCGAGTGGCGTGCCTCTCTTGGGTGGGGGTATTTCAGAGCTTGGTTTTTCCTTTTCCTCCTCGTCCGCTCCTGCTGGTTAACCCAGCCTGCTTCTCTCCTTTCCGGGGGCCTGGCCCTGGAGGTTTTGGGCTTTGCTTTAAAATCAGCTCAAATGCTGCCTTCCTTTTGATGATTCTTTTTTGTCTACTTTCTCCTTTCCTCTGCTCTCCAAGTGCGTGTAGTTTGGACTGTCAGCCGGCCTTGCCTTTTCATTTATTTGCGAGCATTCTTGTTGCTCAAAGACAACACCTCTGAGCTTGGATCACCGGCGCCGCCCGCAGTGGCTAGTGTGTAGCTGGTGGGCGGCGCTGGGCAGCGCTGCTGCCTGGATGGAGGGAGAGAGCCAGGCACAACCTCCCGGGGCCTCAGCGCTGCTCCGGCCCTGGGGGTGGATGGGTGGAAGGAGAGGGGTCGCTCCCCAGCCTGGCCGCCTCTCCACCATCCTGTCTCCCTGGACCCTGGTCTCCGCAGACCAGGGTCGGCAGGAGGAGTCCATCCCTGCTGTTCAGGAGGGGCAGGGCCTCGGGGGAGCTGTGTAGTCCTTCTCCCACGACCGGAGCCATAGTTTGGTTTGTTCTTGTCACGGCTTCCTGGAGAGCTCCCCTGGGGACTCCCCGCACACCCCTACCTAGACCTTGGGCTCCTCTGGGTGCAGACCTTGGGGGCAGCCTGCAGCCCGAGCTCAGTACATGTGACATGAGGTCTCTTTCAAAAGGCCCCTGGACAGTGCTGCGTGTCCCAGTGTCTCACTGGGAGAGTGCCACCTGCTTCACAGTACACGCTCTTTTGGGGGACCATGCTGAGTGCCTTTACACCACAAATGGCGACACCGCTGTGTGCCGCATCCGGGATGGAGCTGGCCAACCAGTAGAAGGCTTGGTCTCTGTCCTTGAACCACTCAAGTGTCCTTGTCGGGAGCAGGCTCATGCCGAGGCAGCGGCACTGAGGGTCAGTTGTGCTGGCTGCCTTCTGGACGCTCGGCGCACACGGGTCTATCAGAAGGCTGCTGGAGGGGGCTGGCCAAATCTTGATCTGAGACTCGAAGGTGTGGACTAGCCAAGACCCTCCCAGGTGGAGAGGAAGCAGAGATGAGGTGGCTGGACAGGTGACAGAGGTACTGGGCATAGTTAGTGTTTAATGAGTGCTTCCTGCAGGCCTGGCCCCGTCAGGCGCTTTATTTACATGGATTAACTAAACCCCGCCAGGGAGGTGCTGCATTTATCTCATCTCCCAGCTGAGAAAATGGAAGCTCAGAGTCTTGGCTGAGATCTTGCAGCTGTGAGCCCAGGCGCTGTAGTCAGGGCTCCTGGCTGCTGTGTGAGGGCGCCTCTGGCATGTGGGTGAAGGACCAGGTGGGGCAGCTGTTACCTGCTCTGGCTGATTGTCACACCACATGGTGTGACAGAGTGTTAGTCTCCTATCGCTGCACAGCAAATCACCCCAAGACAGTGACGCAACAGCCATAAACACTCAGTATGTCTCGCTGTCTGTGGGTCAGGCTTCTGGGAGTGGCTCAGCTGAGTGTTTCTGGCTCTGGATCTCCAGAGGCTGCTTCCATCCGTCAGTCTGTCAGCCAGGGTGGCCGTCATCCCGAGGCTTCCGCTGGGCTGGGGGACCTGCTTCCTAGGGGCTCCCTCACGTGGCAGTGAGTTGGTGCTGGCTGTGGGAGGACACCTCGGTTTCGTGCCACCTAGGACTGCTTGAGTGTCCGTACAGCGTGGCCACCGGCTTCTCACAGAGCAGGTGTGTGACCAGCCTCACAGACATGCTCGGCTGTTTCCCTAACATCCCGCTGGTTTTGCAGATCAGCCTGGGGAAGGGACGACACAGGGATGTCAATGCCAGGAGGTGGGACCTGCTGGCCGGCTACCACGAAGGAGAAGCCAGAGATCCTGAATTTCGTTTGAAAAGCAGTTTTAACATCAGCCAGTTTAGTTTCTTTATGAACATTATGCACTTTGAACCAAACGTGCCTGTGGTCAGTCACGCGGGCTTCCAGGTCGCAGCCTCTGGGTGGAGTGCGGGTGTGTGCACAGGAGCCCCAGGAGCCGCTGTTCGCCTGGAGAATCGTGTGGACGACTTGGCGGCGCTGTGGACGGTGGGAAAGTTTCCGCACAAAGTCCACCCACTTCTCCCGCCATCCTCTTGGGTCCTTGTGATGCCGAGAGGCTGTGGGGCCCACTCGCTCCCCCGGGCGGGCAGGCTGGTGACCTCTTCCGCCCTCCGGGATGCTGTGGGTGACGTCCTACACGATGGGCTTTTAGCGTCTTCGGGGAGGCCTGCCTGCCAAGCCTCCGCTCCACCTCTTGTGTCAGCCTGGAGTTTTGGTGCCTTTGCAGTCTGTAAGGACCAGGGCGATGAAACACGCACACCTGAAGCCTGGGAGGGAGAGGAGCTGAGGGGCCTGTTTGTCTGGTGCAGTTTCCCACAGGCGCTCCCGGAGAAGCGCCCCGGGCCTGGAGCTGCCCTCCTTCTAGGCCGAGAACACGGCCTCGCACTCCTGCTTATTAATGCTTCCCGAGCTTTACATCCCGTCCCCAAGTCTTCATCCGAGACTGTCAGGGAGCCCGTCACACTCCTGCCGCCGGTTAGCCGTGTCGATGCTGGCTGACGCCTCCGGGCGCTTTCTCTCTGCCAGGGGCCATTCTTAGCGTTTTAAGTGTTTTGACTCACTCGGTCCTCACGGCGAGCCTGCAGTCAGTGCCACCGCACCGTCGTCCTCTTATGGAGCAAGAGACTGAGGCCAAGCGAAGATGAGTGACGTGTGCGAGACCAGCCAGTTGGAGGGGTGGGATCGGCACCCGGACAGCTGGCCCGGAGCCTGTGTCCCTGCACGGCGTGCGCTCTCACACTCCCTGTGGTTGTCCCGCTTTACAGACGAGGACGCTGAGGCTCAGAGAGGGGAAGCGGCTCGCCCGAGGTCGTGGTCTAGTAAGTGGCAGAGCTGAATTCTAGTGCAGGTCACCTGACCTGGCCCTGGAGCCCAGGGTCAGCGCTCCACCATCACCGGAGGATCCGTGACCATCTTCGGCCAATTTCCAGATGACACTCAAGGGAAACTGAGTCCCAGAGAGGCGACGTGGCTGCCTGGAGTCCCCGAGCACCGTCTTGAGAGTCGGGGCTGACCGCTGCTTTCCAGAGGCACCGTCCCTGGTGGCTTCCCCTGTAGCTTGGTCGACCTGGCTGTAGCCCTTTGCTTGAGTGGATGGTCGGGGCTCGGGGGGGGCTCTCTCGTGGCGCTTGGAGGAGCTGTGGCATCATCACTAGGAACCAGCTTCCCTTCCTTTCTTGAGCTCAGCGCTCTAAGGCCACGCTCTGAGCATGGCCATGCGACCTCCAGGCCGTCTCTCCCCCCTTGTCTGGGGTGGTTCTTCTGCTCCCCTGCCCTGGACCCGTCTCTCCAGCTCTCTGCCTGGGCCCTTGATTTCCTCCCCTTGGTGTCCTCACCCTGCCCCGGCTGCCCCGGCTCTCAGACCACTCTCTTCTTCCGGCTCACAAGCCCGACGTGACTGAGGACAATTCCTGGCTGCCACAGCGAGAAGGGTCACTGCTAAGGGGCAGGGATGGTTGTGTAGACCCCCGGGAGGACAGTTAAATCTGTAGTTGATGGGTGGCGGTGAGAATTTGGCCTGTTGGTCACCTGTCTGCCTGCTTTATCATATCCCTGGAGCATCTGCAAATAAACGTATGTCATATTGAGGTTAAAAAGGCCCGAAGAGGGGATGTGACGTTCCCAAGGTGCCAGGATTAGAACCTCGTGTGAAGAGTGCACTTCCATTCATGTAAAAGTGGGAGAGAGAGAGAGAGATGTATTTATTCACGCATAAAGTCACTGGAAAAACACAAAGAAATCTCTTTAACTGATTATCTCTGGGCCGGAGAAACGGGGACTTCTTCTTTTTCAAACTATGTAACATTTTATACCTTTGTTATTTTGAATCACGTGAATGTATTACTTACTCAAAAGTCAAAATACGTAAATAATCCACCAGCGTTGTCCTGGCATGAGCACTGTCACCAGCAAGCTTCCAGTTTTGAACTTCTGAGTCTTCAAATCTATTGAATCCAGGTTTCCTGAATTTGTCCAATATAATAATAGCAAACTCGCAGTGCAGGTCTGATTCCGTGCAAAGCCGTGTTCTAAGCATTTTATACGGGGGCTCACTGGAGTCCTCACAGTTGCCCTGTGAAGTGGGTGCTGTTTGTCACCTGCATTTTATAGATGGCGACACAGGGACCCAGCACTTACGTTGCTTGGCCGAGCCTCACAGCTAACAGAGGAGCAAGCCGGGATTTGAACCCAGGCCTTCTGGGTCCAGAGGCCCTGGTCTTAGGCATGATGGTTAAGATACAAAATCACTGCCCCATTGCTTTTGTTCCTTTTGGGGCCTGGCAGTGGTGGGTTTGCGTCCATAGACACTAAGGTACCCCACCTTCCTGAGGTCCTTCCCCATCAGATGCCTTTGGACCACTCAGACACACATATCGCGCCTTAGGGGAGTCCATCTTACTGAACTGCGGCTCGCCTTTTAAGATGAATCTGATTTATCTGGCGCCTTTCTTTTTTCCAGAAAATTATAATGACTTGTACCATTGGTCAGTTGAGTCATATTCAGACTTCTGGGCAGAGTTCTGGAAATTCAGTGGAATTGTCTTCTCACGCACGTACGATGAGGTAAGTGGAGATTTTGTTTACACATTATCTTTTCGTGGTTGTGTTCCTAAGTGAAGCGTTAATTCTGGGGAAGACTAAATCGTATATTCTTGGAAAACTTCACATCAGCAGACAAAAGTCATGGCCCTAGGGAGTGGGGCAGGAAATTGCGTTGGGGTCGCAGACCTCACGGGGACCCGGTTACCTCTGAGCCTCCGGTGTGTGCGGACCCCAGGCCTCGTCCTGGGAATCTGAGTGACCCTGAGAGTGGGGCACTGTTTTCTTTTTATTTTATTAAAAAAATTTTAAATTGTGATAAAATACCAATAACACAAAATTCCCCATTTTAACTGTTTCACAGCATACACTTCAGTGATATTATATACATTCATGTTGTTGTTTTTTAAACTATTAGTAGTTTTGTTATTAACCTGGATTTTAGAGATTTTTTTTTTTCAACTCCTTACCAACAAATATCTGGGGAATGGGGACTCGGTTATTCAAAGTATAATTTATTGTGTTTTTGGTTTGTTTATGGGGTGAACCATTCTGAAAGGTTCATCTGAAGGCACTTGGAGAAGAAAATCAAGGTTCCAGCCCCTGAGGAAGGAGGCAGGGGTCAAACGTTTAGAAAATTGGTGGTGGGAAGATCAGGTGGGCCCTGTGCCTTGATCTCCTGGTTTCTATGCACTTGGTCAGACCTGGGGCCATCTCTGTCTTAGGTGCTTTCTGTTGTCAGCATCCCTCATGAAGTTGGTGCTTAATAAATACTTATTGAAAGAATAAATTAGTGGGGGTGCTGTTTGCCCTTAACATTAATTTCTTTTTCTTTTTAAAATTTTTTTGTTTGCTTTTTGGGGGGGAGGTAATTAAATTCACTGATTTATTTTTCAGAGGGGGTACTGGGGATCGAACCCAGGACTTCATGCATGCTAAGCATGCGCTCTAGCCCTTGAGCTGTACCCTCCCCCCACAATTTCTTTTTAACTTTAGTGAAGAGTAATTGATGCACACGATTGTATAGATTTCATGTGTACATGTGATGATTTGATAGACCTTGCGGAATGATTACCAAGAAAGCATGTCCATCACCTCACATAGTTAACTTTTTTGTTTTTTGGTGGCAAGAATGCTTAAGATCTACTCTTAGCAGCTTTCAGGTACACAGTACCACATTCATTTCTATTTTCAGTTTCAAGCCTTTGGGCCAGTTCAGCGTGCGGTCTGTAAAGCGCTTTAATGATGCTTTGGGCGAGTGAGTTAGCTGGCTCCCTGGGACGTGGACTTGCTTGTCACACACTTGTGGTGTCACTCTCACGTGCGTGTGCATCTTGGTTTGCTGTCATCCTCTGTAGGTCGTGGACACGTCTAAAGGGATTGCCGACGTCCCCGAGTGGTTCAAAGGCAGTCGCCTCAACTATGCAGAAAACCTCCTGCGACACAAGGAGAACGACAGAGTGGCCCTCTATGTTGCAAGTGAGTCCCACTGGCTACTTGGGTTTTCCTCTCTTAGCGTCCAGATGCCACTTCACGTGGGGCCATGTGCTTGGAGAGGCTCGGAAGCATCCAGAGTCTGCAGTGTATGGTTTCCAAATAATATCTTGGCTCCTTCCTTCCTTCCTTTTTTTCAGTTGTGGTGAAAAACACACAATACTAAATTTACCATCTGCACCATCTTGGAATGCACCGTTCAGTGGTGTTGAGTGTATTCACACTGCTGTGCAGTTGGTCTCTAGAACTTTTTCAATCTTCGACACTGAAGATAGTCTCCAGACTGTCTTTGCAACTCTTGGACATCTGTAATTTCAAGATTAAAAGTTATGTATATTAAAAAAAAATCACAACCCAAAGCAAAGGGTCTTCACTTAATAAGAGCATTCCCAATAGTTAAAAAAGAAACTCTTTCAGTGGCCACGTCTTGTTTAGCCTTCCCTGCATCCGTGTAACGTTTCCCGGGCTTGTATTTCTAACCTGCATTTGAACAGGTGTGAGTTTCGTCGATGTCTGTGACTCAGAACCCCTGTGTTTAGAATTCTCCACGGATGACCTGTCCTCTTTCTGTTGCCAGGGGAAGGCAAGGAGGAAATTGTGAAGGTGACTTTTGAAGAGCTGTGGCAACAGGTGGCTCTGTTTGCAGCCGCGATGAGGAAGATGGGTGTGAAGAAGGGAGACCGGGTGGTCGGTGGGTATTTTGAGCGCTTGTCGCGGTGGGGGAGGGGCCTGCGGCACAGGGAATGGCCTGGAAGGCCCGCTCAGGAACGAGGTGGAGTCGTGTCCGATTACATACAGCCTCATGTGTACTTGTGCCCCAGAAGCCGACCAAGAAGGGATATCGTAAAGTGTGGCCTGGCCAGAGTGAGCTGGGCCGTGAGGCTCGGCCTTGCGGGTCCCCGGCTCCCGGCTCCAGTCCTTCGTGTGAGCGTCTCCTCGTGCCAAGCAGGATCCAGTGCTTACAGACGTGTCTTGGTTTTTAAATAAACGTGGTCCTTAAATAAAACACGAGCCAGATAGTTCCAGATAGTTCATCAGGTGCTTGATTAAAGAGCCAGCGACTCCTTCTGAGGTCGGGAAAAGCCGGCTGCTGTGTTTTCTGGGAGGCCGGCCGCCCGCCTCCAACGTGGCGCTCTCCCTGGGAACTTCTGAGGGCGATTTTCATTCTGTGATTTCCGCTGTTAGTGCCGACGTGATTGTAGACTGAGTCCCAGTGCCCAAGACCCGGCAGAGGGAGTTTTATCAGTGGGGAGACTCACCTGACTGCTTTCCTCTTGCGCACAGAGCCCAGGGGCAGAGGTGCCAGGAGCCCCAAAGGCCACCAACCTGCCCATTTCCCAGATGAAAAACCAAGGCCCAGAGGAGAAAAGTAAACGAATCAATTCATTTTTTTAATTGAAAAGGATTTTATTTAAAAGTGGGTGTTGATTTCAACAATATAGACAATTTCAGTTCATAACGTTGTTAAGTAAAATTCCACCTACGTGGAAACACTCAGCCTCTGAAGATAAACTGTGGGAGTGTTTTGGATGTTAATTGTGATGGCTGGAGAAAACACTATAAAATGATGAAGAACCACACACACATGGTATCAGCGTCGGTTTCCTGGCTTTGACATTGTCCTACGATTACACGAGGGGTACTGGATAGATGGACAGTGATGGGTGGAAGGGGCCCCTTCCTGACAGCCTTTCTGGGGACTTCCTACTAGATGGAGGGTCTGAGCCCCTTACAGGCTTGTTTTTGGTTCTTGACTGCCTGCTCACAGTTCCCTGTGAGCCTGCCTGTGCCTCCATCCCTCCAAGCATCCAGCCATCCTTCTGTCCATCCATCTGTCCCTCCACCAGCCAGCCAGCAGGCCGATGTCTGTGGTCCTTGATGTGCGGAGCCTGGTAAAGGCATTTGGTAAAGCAGAGAACAAGATAGGTAGTCTCTGCCCTCATGAGAGAACCAGATACTAAATTGCCAGTTAAAATGATTATACATGGGTGGTCATTACAGTAAATCTGGTGAAGGAGGAGTACGGTGTGCTTTGTGGGCGACTGGTCAGGGGGCCTGAGTTCATGGGGTAGCCTTAGAGAAAGCTTCCCCGAGGAAGTTTCATTTGTGATAAGAGCTGAAGGGTGAGCGTGCACTGAGTAGGGAAGGCTGGCGGGATTGGGGAGTGTTCAGACAGCCAGGCAGCTCGTGCAAAGGCCCTGAGGCACAAGAAGCTTAGGAAAACTGAAGAACTGAAGGAAGGCTGTTGTGACTGAGCCCAGAGTGGGAAGCAGGGCGGAGGCAGAAGAGGCCAGGCTGGCAGCAGGTGATGGGGTCATCCAAGCAAGAGGTGTCAAGGCGAGTAGGGTGGGCCTGGCTGAGCTCTGCGAGCCACTTGCAGCCGGCACCTCTCCCCACCCCCGCCCTGGCTCTCGGAGCTGGTGTTGGAAGTCCACTGCACTGGGTGCAGCCTGAACCAGACTTTCTCCCTGTGCACCCTTTACAGGCTATCTACCCAACAGCGCGTACGCCGTGGAGGCCATGCTGGCGGCGGTGAGCATCGGGGCCATCTGGAGCTCCACGTCCCCGGACTTCGGCGTGAACGTGAGTCGGGGTCCCCACGGAGGGGGTGCCTCTGTGCCCTGCACGTGTCCTGGGTGTGCGGCCACCACAGGGGAACATTCCCATGGGATTTCAGCAGGGAAGGGCTCTGCCCCTGCTGTCCTGGGTTGGGGCGTGGGCAGCTGCGGGGGGCCCAGCACGGCTGGGAGGAAATGGCGTCATGATGGCCTCCCGTCCCCCGTCTCCCTGGCCGGTGACTTGGGAACAGCAGGAGAGAAGGAGCCAGAAGGAGCTGAATCTTGTTTTAAGTTTAAAACTAAACAATTCTTCCTTCTTTTCCTCTATTCCTCACGTCCCGGCCGTGTGTCTTGGCCACGTTAGTGTGTGTTTTGTGCCACAGGCAGTGTTGTGGTGTTGTGGACACTGAGCAGGAGATGTCTGGTCATCTCTCCTGTGACTTTGGGACCACATGAGATTTTCTGAAGTTTATCCGCAGCAGATGGTTTTCCAGACTTGCTCACGGAAGTTTCCCCGGAGCCTCCCTGTGTCCATCACTGCCATTTCTGATCTCTTGCTTTGGATCTGAGTTTCGCATTCTTCATCCCGTAAACCCTGAGCGCACCTAGGACCAGGCTGCATCAGCGGCGGGAGTGGCCCAGGCAGGGGCAGGAAGCGCGTGCTGAGCCCCACCAGGAAGGGGGAAGCAGTGGAGCAGGACTTCCCGGGGCCCCCACTTCCCGATCAGGGGCCTTTCCTGGTGGCAGCGCCTTGGGGATGAGGGACCCTCCGGAGCCACAGGGCCGACCGCTGTTAGAGGGTGCAGCGGGCAGCCGCGTCCCTGCCTGTCTTGCTCTGCTGTGGGTGTGGCCCTGTGCTGGGCACTGCTCAGCGCATCCCTGGGTGTGCTATTTGTCCTCACATGCAGCTCAGGGCCTGTGGGAGGAGCCTCAGGAGACGAGGGTAGTAAGAGTGTGCCCGTGATGGGCGCGGGAGGCCTGACGCACGCGGCCTGCCGGTGCGGTTCCTGGCGCTGTCCAGCTGTGCGCCCTGTGGTCGGTGTGCCTTGTCCGCAGGCTGGGCTTTTGGGTACCAGCTTGAGACTCACGTCTGCCTTGAGGCTTGCTGTTCTGGTGAAGGTTTTCAAGATGTGTCTCATTTCCCCCTACCCTGTGCAAAGGAGGGACAGACCCGCTTCTGTAACACAGGTCTGGAGCAGTGAAGCGATTGGCTGAGGCCAGTCTGTGGTCCACGGGGTGAGGACTGAGCCCTGCTGAGTTCAGGGAGGGGGTCTCCCCAGGTGGAGGGTCACCACTGTTGGCTGTGGTCGTGTCTCCTGAGGCTTTCCTGGGCCTCCACTCAGGACCACCTGGGTCAGTGAGGACTGACCTGAGACGGGTGCTCCAGTGGGGGTCTTCTTGGTCCTTGAGGCCCTTCGTGAGGCTATGTGAGCTGCTTGGGGCCAGGCCGTCCTCATGGGGGGTCCTGGAGGGTTGGGACTGAGTCCACGGGTGCTTGGATCCCTCAGCAGGCTGTGAGCTGTGCTGCACAGAAGCAGTGACAGGGGTTCAAGAAGGGGTGTGTTGTGTTGGTTGCAGGCAGGCAGGCCCACTGCTTTCTGACTCTGTGTCCTCAGGACGCAGCATGGGGGGCTTGTGAGCCCAGCAGCACTAACATGGGATGGCGCTCAGTCTGCCCCCGAGCTGGGTGGGTGTTAGCTGTTTTTAACGATTTGGGCCATGAGTGTTTTTGGGTGAATTGGAACTTACAAGAGGTTTTAAAGGTATTGGAAGAGCATGAGTGGCGTTGGGGAGGTGGTGATCCTGGCCTCCTGAGGTCTAAATGGAGCCCCTGCCTGAGGACTTCACAGGGAGCAGAGCTCCTGGGTGGTGTGTCTGAGCCACCAGGTGCAGCCCAGAGAGGGTTAGGGGACAGGCGGGGGCCCAGCCACTTCCCACATGGCTGCAGCATCAGCAGCTGGTGCTAACCTTGCACCTGTTTTCCCAGGTCATTGTCCTGTGCAAAATGTCACCACCAGAGGCCACGCCAGCTGCCTCTGGTCCCCAGGTCATCTGGGTAGAGGATGCAGCCGGTGGACGGCTCTGGAGCAGCGTCCCGGGCCTTCCTGCCCTGGTTCGAGGCTGGTGCGGGTTTTCCAGGGTGACGGCTATGGCTGGAGCTGCTGTGGGCGCGGGAAGCACGTGTGCACTAGGTGGCAGCCTGGCTCTGTGCTGGCCGCGGCCTGCAGCACGTTTGGTTCTAGGAAATCTTGGCAGGCGCGATGGCCTGGGCCTCAGGGGAGAGCTCTCCGTTGGGTCAGAAGATGACAGGGCCAAAAGCCTTCCCGCTAGGATGCTCCTCTCTGCCCTGAGTTCTGGGAAGCGGTCCTCAGTTTGCAGGTACCCTTCTCTCCATCCTGTCAGACACAGGTGGGCACCTGTGCCGTCCTTTGGAGCGAGTGTGGAGCCGCTGACAGATAATGTGTCAGCCTAGTGACTTCACGTCCCCCCCCGCCCCCGGCTGCTGGCACCATGTGCCAGCTCCCAGTGGTGAGCCCTCCAGGATGGGAAACTGGTCCAGGTAACGAGGCCCGGTGCTGGCTCTGGTACCTCTGTGCTCACTGAGGACCTGGGACACAGCAGTGACGCCAGAACTTCAGACACCTCCGCTCTTTTCCAGTAGCTGAAACTTGCAGGGAAGCATCCCGAAGAACCGACGAGGTGGGGCTGGGGCTGGACAGGGGAGGCCGTGGGCCCGGGACAGCCCTCTTCAGTGGTTCGCAAATCTCTGCTTGAAAAAGAGGTGCCTGTTGTTAATTTCCAACATCACCGTTTTAACCTTAGACGGCGCCCCCTTCTCAGTCAAGGGCACTCACCTGAAGTTAGCAACGAAACATGGATGTCTTTCCTGCGTTGAATCCTGTTTCCGTTGCATGGCACCGAAGATCTCTACGATAAAGGGAAAATTGCCGAGAACGCGCTTGCGTGTCCTGATTTGAATTATGTGGTCCCCAACCTGCCATTCTCACCAAGACTTCCGGGTCCTATGTGTTTTGACCATTTGGTTTTTCCTGTGTTTCATTGTTTACTTTGGAGTGAGTGGCTTTTTCAAAGACAGCGGGGGAGTCTGACCTGTGACATCCACACATCAAACAGCCAGGCTCAAGCTTGTAGCCCTCACCCTCACAAAGCACTTTCAGGTCGCCGTGTGTGTCTATGTGTGTGTGTGTGTGTGTACAGGCACACACGTGTGCGCGCGCGCACAGAGTGGGACAGCTGTTCTCCCCGCTCTGGGTGGCTGTCCACGTGATGCAGCCCCGGCTATTGGTTTCACTGCTTGATTGGTTGCTAAGCACCATGTCTGGGTCAGCTGCGCGATCATAGTGTGTTTTGTCCTGACATGAAAGCAGTTCTCAACTGAGCAGCCTCTCCTGGACCAGAACAGCCAGCGGCTGGTGATTGTGTGCCTCAGTTTACTCATCTGTAACATGGGGACAATAATGTCAGTGGTCACGCTGAGTGGGAAGTGAGTGCCTACTGTTAGTAAAGTGCCCAGCACAGCGCCTGATACGTAGTAAGTACTGTGTAAGTGTCAGCTAGAAATATTATCTGTTTTCTTGATCAGATTTATCAAGAGGCTTATTCTATGGACCTTGGAAAAAAGATTTTGGTTTTATTGATCAAGTCCATCATTAGTTTTCTTTATGGCTTTAATTTCTTCCTCTTTCTTTTCTTTTCCCTGGCAACATAATTCCTGAGTGAAGTTCACTGAAGACAGTTGGAAGTTGGAAACAATGACACTTATAACTGCTTTGCTGTTTTTTCGCCGATAGATTGCATGTTCCAGGGAGAAGGAACTCTGTTTGGTGCCCGGCACGGTAGATGGAATAAACAAATGCTTGCACCATTTCTTCCCTGTTGGCTCAGCTTCTGGTCTGGAAAAGTGGACGGCATAGAATCTCAGTCCCTGAATCTTTAGCCCAGAGAGTCTCAAATTGTATCGCTCATTGGAATCGCCTGAAGGGCTTGTGAAAACACAGACTTTCCAGTTCAGCAGTTCTGGGGCCCCAAGTGATGCTGCGGTCCCCAGGACCGCTCCGATGGGCCCTGGCCGCCCCTTGTCTTGGGCATCCGCTTTGCTGACTCCTGCCAAGTCAGTGCTTCCCCTCTTGGGAGGCTCTGAGCTGCAGCACCTGGCTCACTCCAGGCCAGTTAATGAGTTACCTACTGAGTTTAATTAATCGCCATGCTACAGGTGGCTCTGACATGCCACCAGGGTGGACACCCTATCCATCAGCTCCTCACACGGAGGTTCCGGCGTCACTGCTGTGCCCCTGGAGTAGCCCCGGGTGGTGCCCTTGAGCTGCTGCATCGGACTGACCGTGCGAGAGACCAGGAGCGCCGTCGGGGCGGTGCCTTCCCAGGTGCTGTTTCTGTGGGTGATGATGGCTCCACCACGGTCTGAACTTGAGGCCGGCCGGGAGGGGCCTGTTCCAGAGAGCTTGTATCTGTCACCCTCGGGGTCGCACGCAGGTTGTATGAGTGTGTCTCAGGCTACCCCCGTCAGTTCACGACAGTTCCAGAAACAAGCTCCCTACCTGCGTGGGAGGCGCACCTGCTCTCAGGGAGAGGGATGTGCTCGGCGGGGTGGCAGTTCCACGTGTGGCGCAGACACACAGCTGGGTGTGGAGAGCCTGGCTTTTAAAATGAGGCTTGTTTACGAGTGTACACGTTTATACGTTTATGAACTTGCTTGGCAAAAAGTATCATTCGGAGAATTTGGGTACCTCTTTCATTGAAAATGAAAAGAGAACCAAAATATGGGACCACTTTGCCTTTTGGGAATGTGAGCCTTCTTTTGCATTCGCTAGAGGAGCTGTGTAGGAAGGCTGTTTCTGTGAAGTGGGGAAGCTTTTTGGTGGTGCAAGTACTTACCCCATTCTTCTCCCGTCCGGTGGACTTAGTGCGTGTCTGTAAGTCCTTCTGTGTGTTGACGCTCTCCTTGAAGAGACGATCACGTGCACGTCCGGTTTGCTGACCGTCTTTATTGGTTTGCCTCCGGGTGACGGGGACACGGGGACATGGCTGGTGCACTGGTAACGGCGCGTTCTCTCTCCTGGGAAATCCGGTCCTGTGGGCTGCTGGAGGTTTTTGCCTTTTGGACGACCAGCGACTGCCCTTTCCTTCCACTGCAGGGTGTTCTGGACCGGTTTTCTCAGATCCAGCCGAAGCTCATCTTCTCCGTGGAAGCCGTGGTCTACAACGGCAAGGAGCACGGCCACATGGAGAAGCTGCAGCGCGTCGTGAAAGGTGCGTGGGCCGGCGCGGCGGGGCGGGCGCGGGGGTGGGAGCCCCCCCACCCTGGGGGCCCGAAAGCCCCTGGGAGCTGCAGGCTACAAAGCCCCGCGTGGTCCCAGCCCTGGGCTGTGCTACGGTTCAGCAAAAAGAAAAGATCAGCGGCCGAGTGTGTCGGGCCCTAAAAGCGTGTGTTTCCTCATCCCTTGCTGCTTTCAGGGCTGCCGGACTTGAAGAAAGTGGTGGTGATCCCTTACGTCTCCTCCAGAGAGAAGATAGACATTTCGAAGATTCCAAACAGGTAAGCCAGCCGCAGGCTGCTCACAGCTCCCGTGCAGAAACCCCCTGAACTCCCCCCCCAGCAGCGGATCCTATAGGGCTTCCACTTGGGAGCATTTTAGAGGTAAAATCGCCATTCTGCAGGTGGGCCCCTGAGGGTCCCCGGCATCCTCACCCTTCCTGTCTGTGTCCCTTCGAAGAGGTGGGCTTGGGTGGGGCCAGACCAGCTCCCTGGATTGGCCACAGTGGTTCTGAACACTGGCTGATGTGTATCCACAGGTGCACACGTACGTAATACGCTTTTCCATTTTAGAACTATCTCTTGTCTCCATTGCGAACGGCGTCTTCCTTCCTTTTCTGCCGTTCATGACCTGATAGACCACATGCCTCGAGTACCAGCCAGAATGGTCAGCGCCTTAATTCTGAACAGGAGTTAAGGACATGGATTATGGTTTGGCCACAGTTGACTTCTTCCCAGAGTTCTTGTTGTTACACCCCTTTCATCTTTCCTAAAGTGATCGTAGGGAGAGCCCTGAGATGAGACGTGTTTACCTGCGCAGGTGCACCTTCCCGGGGAGCCGTGTGTCTGGGCTGCGGGCAGGAGCCCCTGAGCGGCGAGCAGAGGCCCCTGGAGGGGCGGGGGCAGCGCCGCAGGCGGGGGTCCTGTGTGCGCTGCGGGGGGCCGAGGGGGAGTGGGAGGCCTTGCAGGCGGTGGCAGATGCATGGCTGGGGGTCCTGAGAGGAAGAAAGCTCGTGTGTGGCCCCTGGTGATGGGGGATGGACCATCGAGCTGGGGGGATGAGACACACTTGCGAGGAGGGAGAGCTGTGACCCCTGGGCCCAGTAGACACAGCCATGCTCTCTGAGTAGAGGACGGGACAGGAAGTGCCAGAAGGTGAGAGAGGAGTGTGGTTGCTTCTCTGTAGGGTCTGGGGGAGGTGACACCTGCGGTGGCCCTGAGAGGTGAGCTGGGTCTGGGGACAGCTGAGGTGACTGGATTCCAGAGGCTGAAGGGATCTGCAGTAGAGTGACTGTTCTGTGAAGGCTGTGGTCCCCGCCAGACTGCTCGAGGTCATGTCTCAGCTGTGTGACCCTGTGCTAGTGATTAACCTCTCTGTGCCTTGGTTTCCCGATCTGTAAAAAAGGGGACGATATGGTCCTTTCCTCACAGGCATGCACGAAGGTGGCTCTCAGTAATATTGTCTGTCATCATGAGCAGGTGACAGCCACAGACTAGAGTGGGCTCTGTCCTCTAGAGTGTCCGGGTCAGACTGTGCAGGTCCTTACAGGCAGCCCGGGGGCTTGGACTTGTCCCCTAGACTGTGGGGACCCCGCTGACCTTGACAGATTACAACCAGCCATGAATTTAGCTCCCCTGGTTTTATTGACGGGGCCATAAGGCACAGAGCCCAGGAGGAAAAACGAGACAGTTCGCTGGCCCCATGGTGGCCTGGCTTTTATTTTTCTGAATGTTTACCGGTAATTGAGATAAAAGGAGAGCGTCCAGAAGAATTATATTAGCCACTTCATTTAGCTTGAGACAATGCCGAGAGCTCCCCCCGTTCCACCCTGGGAGTTAGGCCCCCCTCGCTCTCCATCTTCGATTGCTGGACGCAGGGATAACCTGAGACCCAGCTCGCCTGTGCCGTTTGCAGAGACCGGGAAGCGGGACTCCCCTTTGGGCTTTTCATTTTCAGAACAACAACAAAAGTAAGCGCTATTTACTGTGACTTACAGACCAATTGAAAGAGAAGGTTTTTCTCTGTGTGAAGCATCCGATTAGATTGGGCCCTTTGTGTAAATGGGACTTGAGTGGGAGGTGGGGGTAGAATGGGGCTTTCATGGGCTGGAAAGGTCCACGGTGAAGAATTTTCCTGACACCTCGGAGAGGAGGGCTTGGCTATTTACCACTCAGTTTGAATTATTTGGGGTTCCCTTTTCAAACTGCCACGCCTCCCCCGGGAGGCATCCTCATCTTTAAGGATGCCTTCGCGTGCAAGACAGCACACTTCTTCCCTTGAGTGTGTCTGCGTTTGTATTTCGGGGTAGTTACCCTTGGCGATTTGCTGCGGGCCAAGCTGAACTGATTTTTTCCCCCTTCCTTGAAAAAGAGAAAGTTCCATTTGTCCAAACAGTAGTTTTGGGTTTTCCTCTTCTTTTCCCTTCTAAGGGAGGAAGAGCGCCAGGGTTTAGGGATCGATGTTCCTGCTGATCTCAAAGTAGAGCAAGCACCTCTCCCAGGGTGCCTCTGCAGCTCCTGCGGCCGGGTTTCCACTCGGAGAGCAGCCCCCCCCCCCCCCTCCGCGGCCCTCGGTCGGTCAGTGACACGTTGCGTCAGCGTTGGGGGCGGGGCGGGGTGGGCCTCTCAGGCCGCGGCCCACGGCGGGGCTTAGTTTTGTGTGTTCCTGGACACGTACCTGGATCTGGCCTTCACAGACCTCAGGGTAGAGGAAGTTAGTGACAACACAAGACGTCTGCCCAGCAGGTTTTCTGCCATAAAACTCTAGTTTTCTGGCCTTGGCTGAGCTGCTTGCTGTGACCTTCATGCGTCAGGAAAGCTCGCTAACCCATCACCTCCTCCCCTCCCTTCTCCTCGTGGTGGGAGGGGGGGGTCAGGCCCACCTGTCCCTCGCTCCCCTTTGGGGGACCAGGGGAAGCAAGGCGTTTGCCAACCAGACGGCTGGCAGCGGACAGGAGATGCCTGGGCTCCGAAGACTTGAGCATCAGTTCAGACCCCTCTGCAGGGTCTGCGTGTAACAGCCGACGTGTTAACTGTAAGCAGCCCTTCTCCGGGATGTCTGTTAAAGTGCTCAAGTTCTCTGAAGAGGCAGCCCTTGGCCCTGCCAGTGCTGATAAAGTACCTGGAAAGTTTCACCCACTCCGTGAGCTTTCCCTGGGCGAGCATGAACCCATGAGCCCCGTCTTCTCCCTTTGCTCTTCGGAAGCTCCCGGACAAGGCTGGTCCCCGGGATCCAAGCGGACGTGGAGGGGCGCGAGCGGGAGGACTCGGCGGATGCCCCCGGCCTTCCAGAACCTTCACCGTTTGTCTCCGTGCCTTCTTGCCCGCAGCGTGTTTCTGGAAGACTTCCTGGCCGCTGGGGTGGGCGAGCAAGCCCCCCAGCTGGAGTTCGAGCAGCTGCCCTTCAGCCACCCCCTCGTCATCATGTTCTCATCGGGCACGACCGGAGCGCCCAAGTGCATGGTGCACTCGGCCGGGGTAGGTCTGCACCTCGCACCCGGGCTCGGGGGCCCGGGGCGCTCCCAGCCGGCGAGGGCGGGCACCCCTCCCCAGACACCCCAGCATGTGGCCTGGCTCTCTGGGGGGGCCCTTCATGGAGATCCAGCCTTGAGCCAGGCGATGGGGGCTGCTGTCCCAGCACTGCTGTGGCCCTGTCCCCACGGTGAGGTACAGGGACTCCATGGGGCCACCAACGTGAGGCCTGGGCAGGGCGATCTGGTGGCTTTGACGCTGCAGGTCGTGACCCTTTAGGGGATCGTGAGCCCAATGGAAGGGCCCTGCCCGCATTTTAAATGGATAGAAACAGGACAGATGAGAATAGAAAATACTAGTGCGTCACGGGTCCTAAGAGGTGTCGCTGCTGTTTGGGGAAACTGTCATCGTGTGAGTGCGTGTCTGGATGACGCAGGTGCAGGCTGCATCGGGAAACTTCTGTCTGGCTGTGGTTTGTGGTCAAAGAGTTTGAAAATGCAGTTAACTGAGGAAGGACTTTCTACGCTCAGTCAGCCGCAGCAAAACAGCACAGGCTGGGGGGCCTGAACGCCAGAGATTTACTTCTCCCCGTTCTGGAGGCCAGACGTCCCAGGTCGGGGTGAGGGCGGGCTGGTTTCCTCTGAGCCTCCCTCCTCACTATCTCGCCACGTCCTCCCGTGGTCTTCCCTCTGTGCACACACATCGCTGGTGTCTTTGGTGCCTCAGTCTCCTCTGTTTATAAGGACACCTGTCACACCGGATGAGGACCCACCCCAACGGCCTCATCTCAACTTCATACCCAGTCGAGGCCCAATCTCTGAGCACGGCCACGTTCCCAGGTGCTGGGTGTTGGGGCGTCGGTCTGTTGCTGGGGGGACACCGTTCAGCCCACTTCAGATACTTTTCACTTTTCTATTTGTTTCATCAAAGGGCCAACATTATTAAAGCCCCTGAAATAGCGCGTGATGGCTAAGCGTTAGATGTTGCACATGTGGATTAGTGACTCGAACCTTTTGTTCTTGAAAAAGTTTCAGAGCTACAGAAAAGCTGTGAGAATGGTGTGGTGAGCTCCGTGGTGCGTTTTAGCCAGCTTGCCCTGTCGTCAGCTTTCTCTTAACATTTTTGACATCGATTTTTAACATTATCTTAGCAACCTCTTTTCCTTTATTTCTCTGTGTGTGTGATTGTGATTTTTGGTTTTTGCTGAGCCCTTTGAGAGGAAGTTGGAGGCATCGTGAGCCTTGGCCCCTGCAGACTTCAGCACGTGTCTCTGGAGAACGAGGACATTCTCTTGCCAAACCGTGGTGCAGTCCCCATGGTCAGGAAGGGCCGGCGTCGCTGCGACACCGTCACCTGCTCCCGGGCCACGTCCCCCGGAAGCTGCGTGGCGGTCGCACCTCCTCACCGTACACATCGCTTTTCTCCAGGGCAGCTCCTCAGCCCCCTGGTCGCTCTGACGCTGAGGTTTTGCGGAGTCTTGCGGGACGGCCCTTTGTGGGTGTGTCTGGTGTTGCCTGGTGGTTGGATCCGCGTTACACTTTCAGGGCAGGAACCCCACAGCAGTGACGTCATGTCTTCTCAGGGCTGCATGTCGAGAGGTACCCCATGTCCGTTCTGTTCTTAATTGTCAGTTAATGAGCTCTCTTCCTGGGTGGCTTCAGTGCTCTTCTGTATGTGCTGTCACATCCGACGTCATCTCCCTTTACTCTGCTCCCGGACTGAGGAGAACACTTCCTTCTGCCCGGCTGGGCTCCCCTCCTTGCTGAGACCTCTCCTGGGCGGTCCCGGGACCCAGCTCCTGGCGCTGCTCCTGGCCCTGCGCGTCTCGCCCAGCAGCTCCGCACCTCCCTCCTCTGCAGCCAGTTCCCCACTTTCTCCCAACTTGGGAGGAGGCGAAGAGCAGGCAGTGTCTCCGTGAGACCTTGTCGTACCCTTTCCTCCCCGCGCTGAGAAGAAGGGGATAATCCAGGGGGGACCTTCCCATTCTCAAACCGCTTTCTAGCTCTTGCTTGGTAAGATGGTGGTATTGGAAAGTAAACCTTAAAACCTCGCTTATTCTAACTCAGTTATCTTTTACAGACGTTCTTGATATCTGGAAGTTGTTTGAGAACATTTCCTTCCCTAGAAAGGAGACATTTGCACTTGAATCACTGTAACACCTCACACAGCTCTTTACACAGTGTTTTCATCAGTACGTGGAAAGGGGTTAACACAGCTTTGCCATTACCTGGATTTGGATCCACTGAAGGTCTGATCTCAGGTTGTGAATTATAACTGCCAGGTGCACTGTTAATCCACCGCAGTGACCCCTCAGGGACCACAGGGGGCAGGAGGGAGGGGACGTCAGGGGCCAAAGGCTTGATTTCTGGAAATAACACTGGCCAGGCCGAGTGGCCTCTTGGTGGGAGTGAGTTGGTTTTATTGCTCAAACATCCTGTTTTATCGAGTCGGGTGTGCTCAGAGTCTGAGGTGTGGCTCCCTGAAGAGGGCAGCCCCAGTCTGCCTGGTCAGAGGCCCGATAACAAGCCACAGAGATGAGCATTTTTAGAAACCTTGCAGACGAGGGTGGGGTGTGTGCGGCAAAACAACGGACATTTTAGGAAAAACTGAAATGTCCAACTGTACTTTTATTTTTAGTGCTTTTTGCCTAGTGAATGTCACTTTTTAAGGAGCAGAACATAAAAATGTATTAGATGTAATATAGTTGGCTCATAATGTCATCGTGCCTGGTGTATTTGGAGTATGGAAAGTCAGGAAAAATTATATTAATTCTGGCTCCACTGGGCTCTTGCATCACTGGAGAAGTGGCCGAGCGTCTTGCCTGTTTTTGAGAGCTTTCCCAAGAGGAAACTTGAAAACAGCGTGGGGGATGGCCGCAGGGGTGGGGCTGCTGACACTAACCCCCAGGTTCCTGGGGGGGTTGGTCCTGGTTTGCTGGTTGGTTTTTTTTCCCTAAGTCCATGAAAGCGCCCAGAAAGCAGCTTCCCTCTTCCTTGTTTTAAATTACTCTTGTTGCTGGAGACCCAGGAAACCTTGCTGCTGACGCTTCCTGACCCTCAGGGAAAAGCATTCAGGCTTGTAACAAATGTTTAAAAATCAGGGGAAGAACTACTGACGTGAACTGCTAAGATTCATACAGAGAGAAGCAAAGGGTAGTTTTGTGCCATCGAGAGAGGGAGGGTGCTGAGCGAATGCACGTGCGGGTTATAAATAGGGCGGGCTTCACAAAGCGGGCCATCTGGGCGAAGATGCGGTTTCACTGTCACCCCCTCCCCCCACGGTTCCTGCTCCTGGCCGGCCTGGTGACAGGGCCGCTGTTCAGGACAGACTCTGGCAACAGCGTCTCGCTCTTGAGTTAGAGGATTTGTTGGGTGGGATTGTTTCTGTGAAGCTTGCAGAGGCATCATTTCCCACTGGCTTGTTTTTCGCTTCTCTTGGGTACAGCGAAGGCTGTAGAGGCTGGTTTTTAACACGTGGGTCCTGCCTGCAGCCCCTACAGTTCCTAGACAGCCAGCAGCTCCCATCTGTGGGCCAGACCGAGCACGGTGGTCTGGCCTTTCCAGGGCCTCGGAAGGACCTCTCCAGCATCCCCGGTCCAGCCTCAGGATCTTGTGTGAGGTCCACTGTGAAGACGGGAAAACTGAGGCCGAAAGATTTAGCCGCTGGTTCAGGGGCCCCTTGCTCTGCTCTGTGCTTTGTGCTTGGGGACGGGAAGCTTCCTGTCCTCCCTGTGAGCGCAGACGGACACGGAGTTGTGTGGAGCGAGTGGCGTCTGGGCAGTGGAATACAGCGTAGCTGCAAGAAGACCCCAGGGGAGCTCTCTGTGCTGACAAAGGGCTCCGACGTATGTTAAATGGAAAAAGCAACTCGCAGGCAATGTGTGCAGATGAACAACCGGCATAAATAAATACATGCAGGTGGGCAAGAAGTATACCCGGAAACACACAGGAAACACACAGTTGCTGGTTGCAGGAGCGGGGGGAGGGGGAGCTTGTCTGGTATGTGCTTTAGAGTTTGGTCCAAGTGAATATACTGCCCATTAAACATCAACATAAGAAACAGCAGGTGATGTGTGAGGGTTGGGAGAGCGGGGTCTGATTGGGCGTTGGAGCTGAAAGCAGGAGTTGGAGCTACCCCTCGGCCCAGGGGTCCCTGGGCTTGATCTGAGGCTCACAGGGAGCAGCAGACACAGCAGCAGTGGTGCGTCCCGGGACAGTCTCGCTCGGTCATCCGGCCTTCCCCGTCCACCGCGAGGGACCAGAGTTGGCCAGTAGCGCCCCAGTCTGGAGGTGCAGGTGTCGCTGCACCGAGCCTGCGTCCTTTTGCCTTCATCTTTGACTGTGACTCTCCACTCCGCCACCACCTTCACTCCTCTCTGCCTGAGGCTGGCGGGGCCCCTGTGCTCCTGGTCGTCTGGTGCCCAGAGCCCGCAGGATGGCAGGAGCGGGTCTGGGTTTCCTCCTGGGTCCTTGGCGAGTCTCAGGGGCCAGGTGGCAGAGGGACGGGGGCATCGCTCCATCAAGGTGAGGGTGCTCGGAGGTCTGCTTCCTCTGGGAAAGAAAGCGGAGATTCCTCCCTCCTGCCCGGGGCCGAGAGTCTGGGCTGGCGTGCCTCTGTGCCCTCAGAGGAGGCAGCCCGGTTCACGCCCCGTCTCCTGCTTCTCCCCAGGGGACCCTCATCCAGCACCTGAAGGAGCACGTTCTTCATGGTGACGTGACCAGCAGTGACATCATCCTGTACTACACCACGGTCAGTGTGCGCGTGTGTGGGATGAGTCCTGCCCCCTCATCCCTCCCGGGACAGCCGGGCTTTGGTTCATCCAGCCGGGGAGGCTTTGTCTTTACTCTTCTCTTTGCCTCTCCCCCCTCGCACGTGTCACTGGCCAGACGTGCGGCTTGAGCCCCCAGGCTGCATGCACCAGCGGCCTCTGCTGCGGGCCCTTCCCTCTCTCTCCCTGCCTCTCATTCTGACCACCTCTCCGTCCGGGCTGCTGCCCGCTCCAATCTCAGCACCAAGGTCGTCTCTTAACTTGGCCTGCCCTCCTGTGTTGACCTCGGTTGCCGCCGGGAGACTTGGCACCCCGAGGAATTCTAGAGAAACCAGGGAGACCAACCAGGGAATTAGCATTCAGTCTCTCGAGCCTCTGGAGTTGGGGACAAGAGTCACAGGACTGAAATCTGCCACTCAACCAGGGGACCGGGAACTTAACCAGAATTGCCCCGAGGACAGTCGATTCTTAGTCTGGTGCAACAGAGAAGGGAATCTGACTGATTCAAGCTGGAAAGGAGTTTATTGGAAGGCTGTCGGACAGTGGCCCCCAAGATGTCCATGTCGGGTCCCAGAACTGATTGTCTGAACTTACACGGCAGGAGGGGCTTTGCAGATGGGATGCATGAAGGATCCTGAGATGGCGGGGCTGTCCTGTGTTATTCAGGTTGCCCAAGAGATCCCAAAGGTCCTTATAAGAGGGAGGCAGGAGGGTTGGAGGCAGAGAAGGAGATGGGACGATGCAAACAGAATCAGAGTGCCACGGTGCCGTGAGCCAAGGAACGCAGGCGCCCGTCAGAGCCGGAAAAGGCCAAGAGAGAGTCTCCCCCCAGCCTCCAGAAGGAACTCCCAGCCCTGCTGACACCTGATTTTGGATGTCCGACCTTCAGAACTCTCAGATAATAAATTTAGACCACTGGGTGCGACAGTGGGTTGTAGCAGCGAGAAGAAGTGAGTGCAGAGCAGCCCCCACACCGCGGAGCCAGCAGGAGGCTCACCGTCCTGCCCCAGGTGGATGTGGTCCTGCCCTCCATTGACATGTTTTGTCTGGAATGCGTAGCATCAAACCACAGCTTGAGTTCAGAGCATTGGAGCTAATCGTGACCCTGCTAAACGCTGAGAGGTGAAAACTTAACAAGTTGAAGAAAGTGGTGTTTATCCCAAGGAAGGAAAACTCAAAACTGGCTTTTTCCAAGACCGCAAATAGCAAGAGGCTCCAGAATGGTTTAGCTCCCTTTCCGCCCTGAGTTTTTCGGGAAGCGGATGCTGGAGACGTCTTCCTAAGCTGCGAGGTTGTTGCCCAGGCCCCGGCTGGGCCCCTGGTGCCAGGCTCTCAGGACCCCACGCAGACGCAGGAGCGGGCCAGGTCGCCTCATCTCCCTGTGTGCCCAGCTGTAAATTTAGGGGCTTGGGCCGGATGATCCAGGCTTCTTTCAGCTGCAGGCCTTGATCCCAGATCCCCTCTCCCTCCTTGTCTCCCACAATGTAGAACAGCGGTGCTGGGCACCTCCATCCAGGCTCTGTCCTTTCCCACGCAGGAAGCCCAGCCCCGGGGGCGTAGCTGGAGTATTGATTTGAATTGCAGAAAACCCCCAGCAGCTACACTGATGTCCAGCTCAGCTGCCTCGCTGGGACACGGCGATTTAAAACACCAGGGTTTTGCATCGAGGGGACGTACACAGTGCAAGGACTCAAAAGTCCAGAGCACTTTTTCTGGGAAGCATCCTGCCCACAAAGGAGTGGATCGTTGGATTTTTCCATGGAGTGTGCCAGGCGCCAGCAGCAGCCTCCGGCGCCCTCACCCGGCCCCAGCCAGGCCTGTGCTGTGTCACTGACCCCCTTAACAGCTGGACACCACCATTTGTTTTATTATTTTATTATTTTTTAAAATTTGTGGGGTTTTTTCCTGTTAATGTGTCTTCCATCATCTTTTGCGGGTGGTGGTAATTAGGTATGTATGCATGCACGTATGTATGTATTTATATTTTAACAGGGGTACTGGGGATTGAGCCCAGGACCTCGTGCATGCTAAGCACACGCTCTACCCCTGAGCTCTACCTCCCCTCGGACACCTGCACTTAACAGGATGCAGAGCTACCTACTAAAATAATTCCTTAATAAAAGAAACTCACCTTATGCTGGTGAAACCTTTAAAAAAAAAAGGCAGCTGAACTAAATGGAGGTTTTCGCGGGGCCCCTGGTTCGTGTTGCCGTTTCTGTGTGGCTGAGGAGGCTGGTCGGCAGCTCTCACCTGCGTCCCCTCCGTTGTGACCTGCTGTTGTATCCTGAGTGCCCCAGTCTGCGGTTCTGAGCTGCCACCTGGGCGCCGCGTCCCCACGGGCGGGATTCTGCCCCAGTCTCGGGGGTGGGCGTCCTTGCGGCCCGCCTTGCCTCCGGGGTGGGGTGGGGTGGGGTGGGTGGTTTTGCCCTCTGGACAGTGATTGCTGCTGGAACCTTCCTCCTGCTCCTTTGCTGTGTCATCACCTGTGTTTGGTCCAGAATCTCCCACAAATTCTGGCCCGGATGGGAGTGCCATTGTCAGTGGGGCTGCGAGCACTTCTGAGCACTTGTCGCACATGGTGACAATTTCATTATGCAGCCGGCGGGTCCTTGGTGAGAGGCTGGCGTCTTCAGGGCCCAGAGGCGACCGCACCCGGCCATCTCCCTCCCCTGTCCCGAGTTCTCCTTTCCAGGTTGCGGGGGGTGTGCTTTCTGTCCAAAGTGGGGTGGCACCTACGGGAAACCTTCTTTGACACGTCTTAGCGCACACGTGTGTGTTTATCCGCACCATAAACTTGAGGTGGACTTGCTGGGGCAGAGCATTGTGCATTTGAAACGGGCAGTTCTGGGCAACTTCTGACTCAGTGTCAGGAGGTTCCCTGGGGGCGTGAGAGGCCAAGTGACGGGGCCGAGGGCGCTGGCCCGGTGCTCTGTTGACACGGGCTCCTTCTGTCCCTCCAGGTCGGCTGGATGATGTGGAACTGGGTGGTGTCCGCTCTCGCCACGGGGGCAGCCCTGGTCTTGTACGATGGCTCCCCTCTGGTGCCGACACCCAACGTGCTCTGGGACCTGGTCGACCGGATCGGGTAGGTACCCAGGACGCCAGGCTCGGACCCAAGCAGCTGCTGCAAGGATCTGGGTGCCGCCTCCGGGATGCTCTGCCACTCTTGATGCCTCACTCTCGGAAGAGAGGCAACTTGAGGGCTGATAAGAGCATTATTTCACTCGGGGCCCATCCCCTCAGGGGTAAGAGTATGGTCCAGGCCGAATGTCCAGCCCTGTCCAGGGGACGGTGGGCATAAACTCATCAAGGGTCTGGCAAAGTCTGTCACGAGGCCATTCGCAATGTTGGACTTCCCACCTGCCTTTCTGCGAGCCCCTCAGGGCTGCCCAGCATCTTGGGGGTCTTCTCAGACTCCCAGGTGCGTCCCCAGACGCCCTCCTGCTTGAGCCGCAGAGGGTACCTCCGCCTCCCTGCGGTCCGGTTAACAGCTCTCTCTGGGCGACGACAGGTGGGAATCCTAAGGGCGGAAGCAGCGGCCAGTTAAAGTGGGTATCAGTGCCCTTCCTGAGGACTAGGAACACGGGGAAGGATGAAGGGGCCCCGTTCCCGCCACCCCCTCCTCATTGTCATCATTAGAAACCGTCAGGAGATGCTGTTTCATTAGCACCTTCTTTGCCGATGAATTAATCATAATGGGCTGATGCGTTCTCGCTACGGTGGTGGGTGGTCACCATTGGCCTAATGATCGTGTTTCCAGGAAGGAGAACGTGGAAGCCGGCAGGACTCCTGGGACCTGAAGTCGGCCGCGCTCGGAAATGCCCTAATTACTCTGGATTTGAGCCGGTTCACAGTGGGGAAACAAGAAGGAGCCATGAATGTTCTCAAATCGTTGGCCATTAATATTTTAAATAAAACTTTGGCCTGGGTAATATTTAAATCCTGACATTTGGCTCGCAACATTAGCAAGGAAGGTTATTTCCTAATGAGATTGTTTCCAGCGAAAGGTTAATCAAATCCCTGGGGACTTAGATGGCTTGGCGATCTCTGCCCGTAATACCTGTTAGCCAGCCTCAGATGGAGGTGCAGTGACATGTGTGCCTGGGGTGTTACAGGAAGAGGGAGAGGAATGCGGGCGTCCCTGGGGCTTAGCGCCGATGCAGCTGAAGGCTGAGGGGCCCCAGGGAAACCCAGCTTTGCGTGTGAGCGTGTGTACGCATGTGCACGTATGTGTAAGAGTGAGCACGCATGTCTGAGTGTATGTGTGCATGCGTGTGACTGTGCAGGTGCGTGTGTTTGCACGTGTGTGCGCGCACAATACGTACATGAGAGTGGGTGTGTGAGTGTATGCACACGTGGGTGTGGGAGCACGCATGTCTGTGAACAAGTGTGAGTATGTGTGCATGCATGTGATTGTGTGCAGGGTGCACGTGCGAGCCTGTTCTCAGCCCCGTGGTCTGGGTCCATTTAGCAGTAAGCGTGTGCTGGGTGCCTGCCTTCCATTCTCCTCGGCCTGTGCCCCGGACGCCAGCTAAGATGTGGCCCTGGCGGTCCACGGGGCCCCGCTGACCTGGCCCCTCGCCTGCCTGGGAGGCCCTACTTGCCCAGGTCAGCGAGGCAGGTGCGACTCTGCAGCCTGGCAGGCGCTGAGGTGAGGGGCACTCACGCCGTGGGGAAGAGAGGGTGCAGGTCAGGCTGGACTCGCTGCCTTCATTCCAGCTCCGTCATCTCCCCAAAATGAAGTAAAACTAAGTTAAATGAGCTTTAGCAGCAAATCCTGTTGGTTTGTGGCAGGAGGAGCAACTCTTCAGACCTGGCAGGGCGGGCGGAGTCCTTGCAGCGAAGTTTCAGGGCCTCTGATTTTTAAGATAATGCTATGCTTAGGGAAAAAATCTTCGTTATTATCGGGTCGGTCCACAGACTGACTTGCATGTGTGATAACTGAGTGATGATTTTGTAGACGCAAACAAGATTGCTTTAAAAGATGGACTTCCCTCTCTGTTTGGGATGTATTTCTGGACCCTCCAGTCTAGCCAGGGGGACATTCTGGTTAGGGGCAGGGCCGGAACTCTAGGGTCCAGGTTGGTAACTGGGCAGGCGTTCACGGTTAGGTCTGGGGGACACATGTTCCAGGCAGAGGGGGCTGCCCTGAATCACACGGTGTTCTGTGTGTCTCTGCCTCTGAGCATCAGTCAGCGTGCAGCTGTCGCCCTGGAGTGACTCTCCCCACCCAGGTGTGAGGGGATGAGGTCTTGCTGCCCAGAGGGGCGGGGAGGGACCTTGATGGTCTGGTCTCCCTCAGCCCCCAGAGAAAACGTCCTTTAGTTAGGGAGCTGGAGCTTACCTGCCAAGGGCCACCTCACCGAAAGGAAGCAGAACATTAAGTGATGGTCTCCCTGTAAAAACACAATGATTTACACTCAGCACCGCGTGGTGTCCTCAGTGCAAACTCGGGCGTAAAGGATGGTGGGTTCTAATAGTCCAAAAAGAGAAGAGCTGCTGTTTTCTGAGTTTTAAGAAAACACGCACTTGTTTAAGAAAAGGGTCAGGAATTCCAAGGACGCCCCCCGTTCTGACCAAAGCTCTCTGCGTCCCTGACAGTGAACGTGTGAGGTCACAGTCTGAGGGGGTCTTGATTCTGGGGCCTCCTTGGGCTCCCCAGGAGGAGACATCTTGCAGTTGGGAGGATGGTGGGTTCACGTACAAACAGTTGTAAGTGGGGCCGGGTGCCCTGCAAACCTGTCACTGCTGCCCCAGAGCAGACGCAGGTGTGGGAGCTTGCGATCAACTAAATATTAAGTATTCAGTCCAGAGAAGAGAGGTGTCTGGGGTTATGTAGACTTGTCAGGCGTGAGTCGCAGTTTTAGAAAGCCGTGGTGCCTGGAGTAGGCAGGAGCCCTGACGCGTTTCTGGCGTTTTCTTTCCCTCATCCGTCCTCAGCATCACCATCCTCGGGACGGGTGCCAAGTGGCTGTCTGTGCTCGAAGAGAAGGGCATGAAGCCAGGTAAGTGAGCCCGTCGGGGCCATGGAAGTCAAGTCCCCTCCGTTACCTGTGCCCAGCACGCAGGCCGGGCTGAGGGCATCGGGTCTGGTTCTGATCTCCCAGTGATTCTTCGCTCTAGCGGAAACCCACAGTCTGCAGACACTGCACACGATCCTGTCCACCGGCTCCCCGCTGAAAGCGCAGAGCTACGACTACGTCTACAGGTGCATCAAGAGCAGCGTGCTCCTGGGCTCCATCTCAGGTACAGCTCCCTGCCGTGCCCCTGCGCCGGGGACTGGAGAGAGGGCTCCAGAAGAGTCGGGGGACGCGGGGCCCAGGCGTGGCCCCGAAGTGTGCTCACCCGCAGACCACCAGCCGGTCCGCCAGCTGGAATCTGTCTGAGTGAACACGCAGCAGAGTGTGCACGTCTGCAGGGTCCGTGTCCCTCTTCCTCGGTAGCTGTGTTCCAGAAACTGAATTCCAGCCCCGAGTTAGCAAAGACGGAACCATTGCTGGGGGTGGGGGAGGTACTCACACACCTCACATCGATTGTAACCTCCAGTCCTGAGCAGCTCATTCTGGTAGATTCTGTTTCCTTTACGAAAGAGAACAAGGTCTGGATGTGCTAAGTGACTGGCCAGAGGCCGCCCACACGCCGGGCACAGAGTGGCCTTCGAACCTCCCGGTCCCGGCACCGCAGAGTCGGGGCCTCTTGCCTCCCACGCCCCCACCCACCGTGGTCTTCTCCTGGTGGGCGGGGGTGCTGTGGCCGGTGGGGAGGAGGTCGTCTCCCAGGCCGGGCTGGCCCATCTCAGGGCAGCTGCGTCCCTTAGGGTCTCGGCCTGTCCCCCTGCCGCTGTCCCAGCTCTGCTCCTGAAGCAGCGCCTCCGTCCACTCGGCGTCGTTTGGTGTCGCAGGGGCAGCGATTGTGCCCTTTCGGGGCCTGGGGGCTGAGCAGACCTTCCTGGTCACTGAAATGAACACAATTCTCCCATTTTCATGGGACCTGTCTGCCGGTGCCTCGAGGTGTCAGGAGAAGGCAGGAAGGACATCACACTTCAACTCTCTGTCTGAATCAAACCCTACCGGTTGTTGGAAGCATCAAGCTATTTTATGTGGGTCTTTCTTGAATCCCGCTCCCCCCAAACGTCTCCCCCGCTCATATACACAGCGTGATTAAGGAAAAAACATTTTTTAAATCACAGAGCTGTCTTTCTAGGTATATGATCGGGTCTAAAGGGAAGCACAGACACTGTGTCCGAATCACCGAGCCTAGGAAGGCCCGAGCCCGGCAGCTCTGTGTGTGCCCGTGCCCCCTCCCACAGCCCCGCCCCGTCTCCCCAGGCTGCGGTCTCCATCCGAGCTGCGTGCAGGTGGCTGAATGCATGCCTGTGCTCCCAGGACGCTCTACCCTGCAGTCACGTGGGTCCCTGCCCTCCGCTGTTTGAGGGGCAGTTGTCGCAGGATGGATCTGGGCGTTAATGCTTCTCCGTCTTGAGGGCATTTGGGGTCTGACTCCCTTTCAGGCCTCTTCCAGAAACTGGAGTGTTTCCATCCAGCACGTTCTCTCTTGCTTGAGACGCATTCCAGGGGCCTCAGGGTTTCTGCTTCTCCAACAATTAAGTGAATGGAAACCGGAGCAGAGAGGCTTTGCACGTGACCCGTCAGTGCCTGCGGGCAGACCTAACAGAGCGAGGCTTCCAATTTCCCTCAGCCCGAGTCTCGGATTTCAGTGGGACCACGAGAGGTCATTTATTTGGTCTCTCCTTCAGCAGGAAGTCCTGGTCAAAAAATAAATCACCCAGACATGGGAGGTTCGCTCCAGTTCCAGATAACCTCCCCTACCCCTCCCTGAAGAGAAGCTCAAAGGCGTCTGGGAGTTTTTCAGTGTTTATTTGGAGAAAGAGGGGGTCTTTCCCTTTCATTGTTCAAATCAGAAACACTGCTTTGTCTCAGTCTTCTGAATTTTGAATCTCCTTTCGCCGTTGCTTGCAGGCGGCACCGACATCATCTCCTGCTTCATGGGCCAGAACTGCTCCATTCCTGTGTACAGAGGGGAGATCCAGGCCCGGAACCTGGGCATGGCCGTGGAGGTGTGGAACGAGGAAGGTGACAGCCTTAAACCCTTTCTCTCTCTGTGACCAGTGTGAGTGGCAGCTTGGACACACTTGGATGTGTCATTGTGCCTGGTGACAGTTCTCCAGAAATACCCCGTCTTAGGGGCCGCCCCTCTTGCTTGCAGACTGCTGGCCCTCTCTCGGAGCGCCCGGTGGGTGGTTCCCCGGCATCCAAGCTTCGGAGGTGCTGATGAGGTCTCCCCACTGCCCCAGTAGCCTGACACCCTGACCTTGTGAGGACCCAGCGGAGGACTGGGGCTTGGCCTCTCTGCCGGTCTCAGGACAAGCTTTTGTTTCATGGCCTGTAGCGGCCATGGGCTGTGAATCAGCAAAGCCCGTTTGCGTCCCCAGCACCAGACAGGGCCTGGCATGTGGTGCGTGCACTGTGCAAGTTCGTGGGCTCCAGCTGTTTGCGCTGCAGCTGCCTTTGGTTTCACCCGACTGAGTGGATAGGAAGGTTAGGCCGACCCCTGTGAGCCGGCAGAAGCGGGGGAGAGGACAGCAGAGTGGTTAGGGGCTGGGGGCCCAGTGGGGTGCAGAGAAGACCTCTCCTGCCTCCAGTTCATGGAAAACGTTGCCAGTGACCGTTCTGAAAAAAATCAGTTCTCATTTTCAGAAGAGGGTGTTTTCCATTTGCTGCCAGAGTGATTTGCTCATTTATTGCTCATTTGCTCAAAATAACACTTACCTTGTTATTTTGCCACTTGTCCGAGCCATTTCTCATGGGCCCGGTCACTGCTGCGTTCTGTGGCCTGGGCGGGAGGGAGGTGCTCCTGGCAGTGACAAGCAGACGGCTGTTTGTCCAGCTTTCAGATGCACATAAGATTATTTGTCTGGCTTTTATCTCAAGTGTATTGTGGGATGAAATGAGCTAACCGAGGTGAGGGAAATCTGCAAAGTCTGGAGCCTCTGCAGGTAGGTGGTAGGAATGCGTTTTTCTAGTCCCTGCCGTGTTCTGCCTGTGGACTGTGCTGGGTGAGCAGACACGAGCCGGCTCCATACTTTGGGGCGGGGGGGGCACGCCATCGGAAGGGGTGCTCCCCTGCCCTTCCACATTGGCTTCTGCCGGCGGCGCTGTGTCCTGACCTAGAAACGGGGCGTGTCCATGTGGGAGCAAGAGTGACTCGGTGCAGCGTTTTTAGGAGGCAGGTTGAGGCTAATGAGGAAGGGGGATCGTGCCCAGGCGCCTGTGATCCAGGAACTCCACTCTGGGAGACGTACCCACCAGCCTGAGCAAGGGGCTGCGTGTGAGCATGTTCACAGCATGTGAGTTGTAGCACAAAACAGAGTTGTAAGCAGCGTAAGTGTACGTGTTCAGGGAGAGCAGACTGTGATCACACGCGGGGAGCTACCAGCAGTCAGCACGAATGCCTGGAGGCCCGCGTCCTGTCATAGCGTGAACGAGTCACCCAGATGTTTGCTGAGAGAACAGAGCAAGATGCTGGATGGAAGGGGCAGTGGGGTACCGTCTGTGCACAGCTTAGAAACACACAAGCTGACGTGGATGTCGTCATGGTGTTCATACACAGAAGGGAGTAATGCAACATCGCATTCAGGAGAGATGGGGAGGGTGTGCCGGGAGGGAAGGTCCTTTGGGGAGGGCAAGCCTGGCTTTCAGCGATGCCGGTCGGGGTGATGGGCACGTGGGTGGGACCAGTTCTGTCCCTTTGCATGTGTCCGAAATACTGTCATGGCTAATAGCTTAAAAGAGAAGGAAAGAGAGAGGGAGAGAAAGCCAGGGTGTGTGGCTGTGGTGTGTGCTCAGTTTATCTTTGACTCCTCCCCCCTCCAGGAAAGGCAGTCTGGGGGGAGAGCGGGGAGCTGGTGTGCACCAAGCCACTCCCCTGCCAGCCCACGCACTTCTGGAATGATGAGGATGGCAGCAAGTACCGGAAGGCCTATTTCTCCAAATTTCCAGGTAGGTCGGGGGAGCAAACGGAGCTGCCCGGACTCCCGCCCAGGGCTGGGCCTCCTGGGGCTAGCTCTGGACGTGCCCCCCCCCGCCAGCCACCCCCCCAGCCCTCCCTGCGCAAGCCCGGTCAGGCTGCCCACAGCTCCTTCCACCAGTGGGGTGACGGGGCCTTCTTGATCATATCCTGTGACCTTCCGCGGGAGGCCGTCTTGCGAAGGTCTAACCTGGGTTCAGTTTACTCTTATCCGCCCTCCGTGCCTGGAGCCCCGGGAGGAGCCCTGCTGCCTCCCGGGAGCTGGCACGAGCCGCTGCCTTGCCTGCCCGTTCAGGGGAAGGTGGCTTGTGCAGGAGGTGTCGGCCTGGGTCCCTTGTGTCTCACACACCAGCATCCGGGCCTCTCGGAGGGGGTGGAGGCAGAGCACCTTGGCGGTGGGATGATTTAGAGCCCGTCACTCACACAGACTGCCACCTGCGCCTTCATCTTCTGAGTGGTGTCTTGCCCCGGAGCAGGGACGTCTTTTTACTTAAAGTGCCGATTCCTGCCTCCTCCTTATCTTATTTCATAAGCAACATTGAGTTATGGCTGCTGTATAATTCATAATTTAGCAAGCCTTCTGTTCCAGGGTTATTCATACTGAGGACTTGCTTTCTCCAGTCTTCTAGAAAGGTAACTTGACTTTGCATAAACCACATGTGGAGAATCGGAAAATGGCAGGTGACCGTCAGGGGTGAAATTGGCCACAGATCCCTCCCGTTTCTCTGCTTGGTCTCATGTGTCTGCACGTCCCACGTGACATCTGGTGTGGAAGCTGCCGTGGCCGGCACAGCCCCTCCCACACGAGGGTGTGGCCGGGCTCCACTGGGTACCTGCCGCATTTAAGCTCCACCTTGGATCCTTCCAGCGTGTAGCTGTGCAAACAGACTAAGGGATAATAGAGCGTCCATTTATCCATCTGTCCAGAAAATGTTCCTCGAATGACTCTGAAGAGGAGTCAGGGCTCCTGTCTTAGGAAGGGAGGTCAAAAGGATTAGAACCTCATCTTGGGGATCCATCTAAGAAATGACATCTCGTCATCTTCAGCAACACAGCTCTTTGAAAACTGTCTTCTCTGTCACTTTTTGTTATGTATACAAGGGTTTGCATGATAAACATCTCTCAGGATTAGTTCCTGATAAAGTCTAGTTTTGAAGCTCCGATATTCCTTCTTGGAGACAGCAAATACTTTGTGGCCTGTTGCACTTCCATTTTTGCCTTGGCTGCCAGGAAACTCAGAGCTGCAATCACTGCCTCATTGTAGCAGTCTTCTTATCCCCAGTGCAGAGTTTCTGATTCTATAAATAATCCCGTCATATTGGTTTTATAGGTAGTGTCCTCCAGTTCTTTCTGGAAGTATGTGGGACGTATGAGTAAATATGAAGAAACACCGGCAGGTCAGATAGTAGGATCGGAAGCTGCTGGTCACAGACAGGGTGGACACAGGCTGAACCAGACGGTTTCCCCAGGCCCCAGCGCTGAGAGTTTCCTAGACTGTATAGGAAATGGCTTGATGATAAAAGGAAACAACAACAGAAAAGCAAGGTCTTCCTTTTTGTAGCAGGCAGCAGACTTTCAGGCGTCATGACCCCCCAGAACTAGGCCAGGTGAAAATGTAAACTGACGGTGTGCTGATACGGAAAGGCGTTTGCAGAGTGACCAACCAGAGCTCAGAGCAGAGGGCCCGGAGCCCCTTCTGAGTGACGTTCCCTCAGCCGCCCCGGGCTGCCCTCTCTTCCTGAGGCGTGGCTTGTGCTTTCCCAGTCTCCGCCCAGAGGGCGCCCCCGAAGTCCCCGCTGACCTCCCCGATGCTGCCTTCACGTCCCCGCCGCCGGGGTTTGCACAGCCCCCGTGAACCCCCGCGGCCATTGCTGGCAGCTGCAGGAGTGGCGTTTCTTGCAGGCTGGCGCGTGTCAGAGCCGTGTGTAGGGTTGGCCCCACCAGGGTCTGGTTCACTCTGGCCCCCAGGCCCCCATCGTATCTGTCTGTGGGCCTCAGCCGTGTCTGCTGACAAGAGTTACGTTGCTGTCACGCCCACCGTGGGCGTCTGTCCCGGCAACCGGCCGGGACCCTTCCCCTCGGAGTGACTGAGCACGTCTGCCTCCCTGCAGGTGTCTGGGCGCACAGCGACTACTGCAGAATCAACCCCCAGACCGGGGGCATCGTCATGCTGGGCCGAAGGTGAGGGTCTGCGGAGCCGGCTCCTCCTCCCTTGAGCCCCCTTCCCGGGGCAGCTGGGGGTGCCCAGGACTCAGGAAGCACCCCCAAGTCTGCTCAGTCTGCGGGACGGGCTGACTGCGCCCTGTCTGGGGCCCTTCCTGTGTCGTTCCGTCGTCAGCTTCCCGAGGGTGGGTCTGGGCCTGGTCCACATTCCCGGACCCCAGAGTAACGGGTCAGGGGCGTTGGTGTGGGAGGCGTCCATCCACAGTAGCGGCGACCCTTCTTGGAGTGGGAGTGGGCGGCACCGGGGTGCACAGCACACCTGGGAGGGGGGACAGGTATATACAGGTGGAGGAGCAGGGAGATGACAGATGTTCCCACACAGAGGGGGGCCCCCTTGGTGTCCAGCTTTCAGTTTACAGGGAGAAAGAGGGGTGCTGGTCAGGATAGAGAGCCAGGGAGGGAGCCACCAATGACTGGGCATGATGTTGTCCTGGAAAGGGGGTGACTGTCCCCCGGGCGCCCCGCGACTGGCTTCCCTCGGGAGCTACTGTGTGTTCATGACGTCTCTTTTTCCAGTGACGGCACGCTCAACCCCAACGGGGTGCGGTTTGGCAGTTCGGAAATCTATAACATAGGTGAGCAGTTTCCCCTTCTCCCTGAATCATTCTCAGGTCGTCCAGGAGGGAAGGGAGGAGTGTCTCAGTGGGGAGCCTGCTTTTGGCATAACTCTGGCCCGGTTGCCTCCGGGTGTGAGAATAGACATGTATGAGTGTGCACTTCTTTCTAGAACATGCCTCGTCCACATTGCTCGTAGCTCGTAAAACCTCAGAGCGAGATTACGTTTCATCCTCACAGGGAGATCAGTTGGGTTGGTTAATCGTGTCTACTCTTTATGGGTAAAGAAAGATGCACAGAGAGGTAGTGTGCTTACTGAAGGTCACACAGCACCATTCAGGACACCAAACAAAGACAGTGGGCCTTCCAGCTGCACAGCAGAGTCCCCAGTGGGCCTTCAAAATGCCCTACCAAGGCCATGAAGTTAGCCTCGTACGAATGTCAAAATCTCCGAGTCATGCCAGGGCTGTGCAATTAGGGAGAAGTGCCAATCTGCCTGATTCCAGCCTTTATTCCTCCCACCGGTGGGGCCCCCACCACGGGCACTTGCTTTCCTTTTATTTTTAAATTGATTTGTAGTTGAGTAAGGAAGGCCTGTGGATGGCTCCTTGTAGACTGTCAGCCATTCCAGCCCAAGCTGCAGCTCTCCAACTCTGCCTAGGGATGCCCCAGTGCCGGGGGGCTCTTCCCGGGAGGACTGGGAGGAGAGACGGGGGTCCCTGTCAGGCCTGGTGGCCCGGCCTCCCCTTCCCTTCCTCCAGGCCCAGGGAGGAGTCGCCAGCCGAGGTGGGGCAGCGGGAGACTGAGGCCCCTTGCCCTGTCTCCGCAGTGGAAGCGTTCGAGGAGGTGATGGACAGCCTCTGTGTCCCTCAGTACAACAAGGACGGGGAGGAGAGGGTGGTCCTCTTCCTGAAGATGGCTCCCGGCCACGCCTTTGGTCCTGACCTGGTGAAGAGCATCCGCAATGCCATCCGCCTGGGCCTGTCTGCTCGGCATGTGCCCAGCCTCATCCTGGAGACCAAGGGCATCCCGGTATGGCCGCCTGGCAGCGGTGCCCAGGGCACTGTCACCTCCCCAGGAGCCCACACGCCCTAGAAGCACTCATCCAGAAGCTTGCTCATGCTTTATATATAGTTTGTCCGCGTTGCCTGGCAACCCCATCCTTTTTTTTTTTCTGCCATCTTTTTTTCTTTTTTTTAACCCTTCCTAAACTGCGTGTATTGCAACTTCTGCTAAATACCGGTCTTCAGAGGGTAGGCAGGCCCAGCCTTGCACCTCCAGCTGGCTTTTCCCCAGTGTGGTTTTAGTGTGTTCTCAAATTATTAATGAGAAAATTAATTTTAACTTTTTAGAAGAGCCGCTGGGGTGCTGTTGCTCCTGCCTTTTAATTTTAGGCTCTGCCTGCGGAAGGGAGATCTGAATCTATCTAGAGGCACGTCTTCAGAAAGCTGCCCCACCGTTTATGCTCTGCTTGGGTTCTAAGTGGGGGAGGAGGTGCACCCAGATCGGATCACAGCTTCAACTCGCGTTGCTTACAAAACAAATACCTGCGTCGGCCAAGGGAGGAAGCTGCCGTGTGTCCGGGTGTGCGAGTGCGTGCATGTGCGTGCGTTCGCACAGGTACACCCAGGAATCTAAGTGCACAGACGAGCCGGGCTGTGTCTGAAGCCTGTGGAGCGGCTGCTCACAGTGAAGAGGGCGGGAGCGGGCACTCGCTGGGCTACCTGAGGGGGGAAGATGCCGCTTTTTTGAGGTCGCTCCCCGAGCAGCGGTGGGTATGCGAGGTGCAGTTAGAAGCAGGGTTTTTGTACCATCCACATGTTTTTTTCCCACTGTTACGCGTAGGAAGGGTCTGCAGCCTGGGCGTTCTGTCTCTCTCGGTGGGTGACTCGGGGAGAGAGGGGACTTCTGGAGTCAGGGACACTTGCTGCCTTGTCCTGGTGAGGGTCTACGGCCTCCCTTCACTGGCTCAGTGCTCTCTGCACCTGAAACGTTTTGGGGACTCGAGTTTGACTGTCTCCTGGGCTTTATTTTGTTGAGAACGAACCTGTGCCCTTTGCTGCCAAACTGGTGATTCCCAAACTGCATATGCTCTGGAGGACAGTGGAGAGATTTGTTGGAAAGCGAGAGAGGCCCTGGCCTGTCTTCCCATCCTCAGCCTGGCCCTGGTCGACTTACCCTCGGGCACCCGGCTCAGCTGCCTCCTCCGTCTGCCTGGCCCGGGAAGTCATTTGGAGGGCTCCTTGAGACTTCTCAGGCGCCCTCGTGTTCTGAACTAATGAAGCCCTTAGGAGAGGGTTTGCCGTGTGTCGCTGGGCTGGGGGTGGGGGTCTGGCCCAGCCATAGGGACCTGGGGCTGGACACACCAAGGGGAGTGTGAGTGGGCATCTGAGACATCGCTAGACCGGAGGGCCCAGCACGACGGCCCTGACCCCAGCAGATCTTCGTTCCTCGGTATGGCTGAGGTGCTGGCCCGTCCTCCCGGGGGGCGTGTGGCTTATCCCCGGGGGCCAGGGAGGTCAGGGAGGAGCGGAAGGGACTTCCTCCCCCTTCCCCTTCTCACCAGGAAACAGGAGCAGGACTTCCTCTAAAAAGATGCCTTGTTTATTCTGTCAGCTGATGGGAGATTAAGTTATTAGCTCCCGTGAGCCGTTCTTGGGTCTTTACTAGAAATCTTAGTGGCACAGAAGCACACGAGAGACGCTTGCATTTCAGGGCGAGAGGGCCGGTGGCGCCCCAGTGACAGGCAGTCCCTTGGAAGCCAGCGCCTGGATCCTTAATTAGTTCACACGTCAACTGAGTTTTTCAAATGAATGAATTTTAATTACATCTCAGGTTGTAATGTAAAAAAAAAAGTGTCAGTGCAAGGAGTGCTCAGGGCACCTACAGCTTTATTAGAGAGCTTGGTTTGTTCTAGAAACTTTCTGGTCCCCAAACACGGACACCGCCGCCAAAACCCACTGGGGTCAAAGGTGAAACACATGTGCTACAAATTTTAACAGGAGCTTTGAACATTTGGAAAGAGTCCGACTTCGAGGAGAGCAGTGCCCTGTCTTGTTCAGACGAGCGGTTCTAGGGGAAAATTTGGCAAAAGCTTGGCGAGGCTCTTGGACGAATGTCACTTTCCAGCAGCAGATCAGGGATGGGGTCACGGGAAGGCAGCCGACTCCTGAAATAAGCTAGTCTTTCTAATATAACACAGTGTAGTAAAATAAATATAGGTAATAAAATAAAAATGCAATGCCTTCTGAGAGCTGTGTGCGCTAACTCACCAGGGCACCCGCAGCCTCGGCGCGGGGGCTGCAGTCCCTTCTTTACAGTCAAGGAGACAAACTCGGGTTAAGGAACTACCCTGAACGGTCACCCGCTGAGCACTGGCCAAGAACTGCTCGCGCTCAGCGTCCCAGGTCACGCTGGTCTTTTTGGCTTGGGTGTGCCCAAATAGCAGGGCCAAGGGAGTTCCCTCCATTGGGGTTTAAATGCTCCTTCTGTCTGCTTTCTCCCCCTCCCCCGGCAGTACACCCTCAACGGCAAGAAAGTAGAAGTGGCCGTGAAGCAGATCATCGCTGGAAAAGCCATGGAGCACCGCGGGGCCTTCTCGAACCCCGAGGCCCTGGACTTGTACCGGGACATCCCAGAGCTGCAGGGCTTCTGAGCCGGGCTGGCCAGCACATCTCTCGGCCAGAAGGGTCTGTACTGTCACTTTTGTACGTTCAAGAAATTACTGAGAAACCTATGGTCTTTGGAAAGGGGTTTGCGCCCAGTGTCCGCAGGCCTGGGGAGGAGCTCTCCTCTGTTCCATGGTTCCATCCGGTGGGGGCCCAAGTCTTCCACACGTCCCAGCGGGATCCTGACCTTCAGGGGCCAAAAGGAGGGTGTGGGTTGTGTGTGTGGCAGTCTTGATCTTGAGAGTGTATCTTTGCATACTTGCGGGGGGGAAGCTGGGGTTGCCAACACCCGGTCCCGCGTCCTGGGCTGGCGGGCATCCTGGTGACAGCTCGCCCCTGGGGAGCAACGTGGCCTTCAGCCTTGTACTGTGGTTCCATTTCCTCTGTTCAAGCCCAGATCTCTTACTTCCCTTTGTATCAGTCTCCCAGCTCCAGCCACTGTCCTCTGGGGCTCGTCCATCTGCTGTGGTACGTCTCCTGTTGCAGCGCCTGTCCCAGTGTGACTTTACAACATCCCACAGCTGATCGTCAGGACCCCGGCCAACTGCTCTCTTGTTGTCTGTGTGTCATGGACCGAATCCGGGCAGTGCGTGCCTGGTGGAACCTGTGCCCAGACAGGGCTCCCCAGCAAACAGAATTCCCTTTGGAGAACGAGGGGGTTTCATGTTTTAATAGAATCTCTTCAATTCAGGGACTTTGAGTGGTTTAAATTTTTTAAAATGTTAAGTGGTGTGTGGATGTTTGAAGGTGAGGACAGTGTCCCCTCTGGGGGGCGTGGCCTTGCTGCACCCCTCCGCTGGCACCACGCTGCCCGTGGAGGCAGGTTTGATGGGCGTTCTGTATGTACTTTATATATAGTTCAGCATCTTAACAAATTCCTGTCATTGTAATGTTCATTTTTGTACTTTTTAAAACGGAGCACAGTGAAAAACTTTCTTGAACCCTTTTTCTTGAGGACTATAAAAACGGGAACGGGCTTAACGCAATAAACACATATGTATATGTGCACATGCCTGTACTTGCGGGCGCTTGCGTGTTTTCTCTGCAGGAGGGACTGGATCAGAGGGCCTAAACCTTGTGAGGATGGGCCAGCCCGGAGCCGCCTCCCCGGGGAGATGTTTGGGCCAAGTGGCGGGGCGTTTCCTGGGCCCCTGCTAGTTAGCGGCCATGCCCGGTGACTGAATGGCACAGAGCCCTTCCCAGCTGAAGCCACTCCCAGTGGAGGTCTTGGCCACCCCCTCAACCTGCCCCGGGGGGCTTAGAGCTGCCAGGTCCTGGTAATCTCTTCTCATCACTGCAGGAGCCGTGTGTCACCTGGATGTTGTCTGGCTGTGTCACAGAGTCCAGGCTGGGCCCCGCCTGGCTCCTGTTTCTCACATCACGGGAAGTTGGTGGCAGGCGGTTCTCAGGCTGGAGTAGGGGCTGCGGGTGCGGGGTTCCCGTCTGCTGTGCTCGGCTGTCCTTGCGTGGGGCTGTCCACCTCTAGCCTTCCATCCGTGTCCCAGGCAGGAAGGATGGTGACGAGGGCCTGGTAAGAGGCAGAAAGCCTGCCCCTCCTCAGCACATCCCGTTTTTATCAGCAGAACAGTGGCTTTTCCAGGAGCCCCACCCAGTGCCTTGGGGCCACCCTGGCCGTGGGGGAGTCTAGAGACATGTGTAGTTTTAAACTGGGCTCACGACCTTCCTGTTCAGGCACACCTCGATTTACTGCGCTTTCCTTTATTGCTTCGCAGATTCTGAGTTTTTTACAGATTGAAGGTTTGTGTCGATGCCTGTTGGCGCCACTTGCTCACTTCGGGTCGCTGTGTCACATTTTGGTAATTCTTGCAATATTTCAAACGCTCTACGAGCAAAAAGACTTGCTGGAGACGCAGACGATACTTAGCATTTTTTAGCAATATTTTAAAATTAACGTATGGACATTGATTTTTTTTAGACATAATGCTACTGCACAGTTGACAGATTACAGTAGAGTAAGAAAAACCTTTGTAGGCACTAGGAAACCAAAGGCGGGGTGTGACTCGCTTTATTGCGCTGGTCTGTAATGAACCTGCAGTATCTCCGAGGCGTGCCTCTGTTAGTTACCTGGTGCTGCTGGAACAAATAACCACAAACGTAAAATAACACGAATTTCTTACAGTTCTGGGGTCAGAAGCCTGCCGCCGGCCTCACTGGGCTGAGCTCAGAGCGTCCGCAGGCTGTGTTCCTTCTGGCGCCTCGAGGGGAGAAGCCCTTCCTCGTCTTTTCCAGCTTCTAGAGGCTGCGTGCATCCGGGCTGGTGGCCTGTTCCTGCCTCCTCCCTCTTCCACGTATAAGGGCTCTGTGACTCCCGTGGCCCCACTGGAATAATCCGGGATAATCCCCCTACTTTAATATCTACTGATTAGCAAGCTTAATCCCACCTGCAGCCTTAAATCCCCGTGGCCGAGTAACCTGACAAGTTCCGGGGACTGGGACGTGGGCACCCTATTCTGCCGACCTTGCTTTGCAAACCCAGCTGGGGTGCTGTTGGCAAGGAAGAAGGAGGGAGTGGGCATCGGGAAGGCGTGAGTTCTGAGCTAGAAGACAAGGCAGTCGGGACCCCTGGTTGTTGACCGGCCCCGAGGCCGGGCTCGTCCTCCCCGTGTGGCCGGCCTGCGGGCCTCCCCCCAGGGCTCTCCTCTGGCCTGGGCTTAGAACCCACTTCACACTGACTGTGCCTGGGGAGTTGTTCAGGCTTAATCACGATGCCCTTTAGTTCCGGCAAGACGTCCCAGGCCGGCTAAGCCCACACGTCCTTACTAATAAGCCACGCCGGACAACTTCATTAATGAGGGACAGATGGTCTGGAACAACAGCCACTTGAACGCCCGTGGTGCTGGCTCTCCTGTGAAGTGCCCTGGCCCGAGCATCACTCAGAAAACCCCAGCACCTGCCGTCCAGCTGCCCTCTTCCTGAGCAGCCTGCACTGTGCCTCCCTCCCCACTCCTGCCCTTCCAGCTCCCACCACACGCGTCCCAGCAGCAGCTCCAGGGGGCGTCAGGACCTGCAGTGCAGTCTGGCCGGGGCTCCAGGTTCTGGGCCCTTGGTCGCCTCCCACGGCCTGTGGGCCTCTGAGCAGCTGTTCCTCTTGCCAGGCTTGCCTTCCTTCCTCCAGGAACTTTCTCGAGGCTAGGGGGGCTCCTTCCCTCGCACCGTGACCGTCCCCTCCTCGCCGGTGCAGACTCTCCTAAGGGACGCCAGGGCACCACGTCTGGGTCACTGCATCCTTGTCCAACCTGTGCCTTCCTTTTGTGTGGTGCTCCCCTGCACTGACCGCCCGCTGTCGCTGCCGGCCCCGGCCTGCTGGTGCCCCTCCCTGCATTCTGAGCCCACTTGTCTGTACCCCCAGCACCCAGCAGCAGGTCGGACCCATTCAGGCTTGGGGAAGGCGTCCCCTTGACCTTCTAACCCACCCTTCATTGTGGATGAAGGTGGACGCAAGAGACCTTCCCTTGGGTCTGCAGATGCCCAGGCAAGGGTCTCGGGAATGACTCCCTTTGAGGCCCAAGCACAGCCGGACTCTGGGCCCCAGCCTTCAGGGGGAAAGTTGCACGTGGATTTGTGGGGGGTAAGTTGTAGTCATTAGGGTACGGGCTAAGCTGCCGTGCGTGACAAGCACCCCCAAAGCTGGCTCAATTGGGAAAGAGGCTTTCTCCTGAGACAGCCCCGAGAGAAATGGGTGGGCCTGGGGGCAGGTGGCTTGGCCTTGCAAGGTCTCCTGAGGACCCAGTTTCCTGCCTCTGGCTGCTGGGCATCCCTGGGCCTGGTGGTCTGGTCCACGCGGCCGGCCCTGGCTCCCTGCATCCTTGCTGCAGCCCTTCCGTTCTGCTCACGTCTCCTTGGCCACAGCTGTCTCAGGGCCGCACTCGGCTGCGAGGAGGCTGCGCGGTCTGCTCTCCAGCCGGGTCAGGCTGTGCTGGGTCCTGCTGACCCGTAGCTGGCGAGTCCGTTTGTACAGCTGTCAAAATCCAGAAGAGCAGAGAAGTGAACACATGGGATGTTTCCGCTTTAACCCAGCTGAGTGATTCCAGCACGGCGCCCACTCAGGCGAGGCCGGCAGGACGGGTCCCCGTGATCACGTGACCCTGCCCAACTGCTCACAGCTACACACCTCAGCCTGGGCCCCAAATACTTTCCAGTTAGGGGACAACTTTCTGTGTCAAATCAAGTGGCTTTTCCTGGGTGCTCTGCAGAGCTGGGGACCGGGTACTCACTCATTTAACTGATGTGCCCCGTTATCTATCCCTGGGGCCAGCAGTCACCAGGGTCAGTGAGCTCCTTCTGCCACGGAGTGTAGTCTCAGGGAGGGAGACAGATGGTCAGAAAGGAAAGGAGAGGATGTCTGGCCAGACACGATGGCCGGGGGCCTCTCTGAGGAGGTGACACTGAGAGGGGAGATGCTGCCATGGGAAGATGGGAGGACAGGAGAGCTGAGTGGGAGAGGCAGGTAGAGTGCAGAGAGGGGACTGTATTCTAAGGGCGAGCAGGAAGCCCCCCGGGATTGGAGCCTGGCAGTGACATCCGAGGAGCGCGGTCTGAGGGTGGTGCTGGGTGAGGGCAGTTCCTTCTGCTCGCCTGGGTGGTGGTGGTAGATTCTGGACTGGGGGACTGGGCACAGGGTGGGTGGAAGACTTTTCCAGAAGTCAGTCTGCCAGCTTTCTCCTTCCCTCCCCTCATCTCCGTCACCCCGAGCACTGTTTGTGCGGTTCTGGTTCATCAAGCACACGGTGTTGGACACACAGCCAAGGTGATCGGGATCCTGTCAGGTTCAGCCGGGAAGCCTGGAATGGCGTTGATGAGCGGCCGTTCACATCAGCGCACACTCGTTCTGAAAGCCTGCTGCCATCTTGTCCCCAAACCTTCAAGGCTGTCATAAGCGGATAAGTAAAGGCCCGTTTAGACCGTTTTTAAAACACATTACGAGCTAAGCGCCAGCTCATTGTCACAGCTGATCATCTTGGAGCGTGCTCTTGGCCATCACAGCAGTAAGTGGATGGTCTCATAATTTCATTAGATGACTTCCAGGGGAGAAACAGTTGTTAGTCAATTCATTATGCTCTGGAACAATTTCCAAACTTCTTCATTTCCGGACGCCCTCCCTGTGCTTCCTCCTCCTCTCTCCCTGGCTCGAACAATAAATCGCAAGTCAAGCTGGGTTTTGGGGAGAGTGAAAGGGACAGTTTGAGCTTGCTGGTTGCACCATTCCTGCTAGCCATTTACCTGCTCAGCCAGTCTGCTTCCCTTTTTCAATCATGACTCAGGATTTTCCTGGCTACAGGTAACAGAAACCCCAATCCAAACAGGTTCAAGCCAAAAAAAGATACTATCAGCTCACAGTTTTGAAAACCCAAGTGCTAGGACTACCTTCAAGTGTGGCTAGATCCAGGGACTCCGTGATGTCGTGGAGGTGCCATTTTGACTTGGTGACCTTGGGCTCTCACTGCCAGCTATCTGCAGTCTGCTCCGTGTGGCCAACTGATGTCCTTCAAAGTCCAACGACCCCATATCCCTGGGCTCTCAGGTGTCTGCCTGTGATCC